GAGAGACGGGAGACTAAAAATACAAATACAAATAAATACAAATTCAAATGCGATGTATAAATAGCCAAGGGTCAACAAATTAAGCCCCATTCCAGACAGCCAGCTAGCCAGGGCAGCCAGGCAGGCAGGCAGGCAGGCAGGCAGGCAGGCAGCCATCACGAGGGCGATGACGATGACGGTGATGAGGGACGTTGGTTGGCATTTATTGGGATCATCGGATTGTGGAGCACAGTAACAAGCGAGTGACCAGCCCAACGACAGAGGCAGAGACAGGGGCAGGGGCAGGGGCAGAGGCAGAGGCAACACCAACATCAGATATTAATTACACGTCAACGGAGGTCAATTAAAAATTTGTGGCAGATTAAATGGGTGACATGGGGCCAGGTCAGACAGGGGACAACACGGCAAGGGCCAGGACAGGGCAAAGCATAACACGACAGAAATTGTATGGGCCAGAGAAAGGGTTCCGCTGACCATAAAATAGAAGCGCCCAAGAAAGGCAGGTTGGGCTAGAAAATAGCCAAGGGACTTGATTGCTGACAATTTATTGGTTAATTGAGAAGCGCTTAAAGTCGAATTTGAGACCAGATGAGCTGCTCAAATTGAGGACAGATCAAAGCAAAGAGGCTGCAAAATGGAACATAATGAATAAGAAAATAAATAATAAATAAATACATAGATTTAACATCAGCTGAACCATGGATAGAAGTAGCGCTTGCTACACTTCATTCCTTCATTGTGCCTGATCCTGTTTGTTAATTATTTCCTGTTCTGCAAGACAGTTCCCGTGAGACAGAGAGAGAGAGAGAGAGGAGCGACCGTGCAGCACTCATCATTAATCTGCCGCAAAAGCTCTCCTACTTTTTATTTGCATCCTCCTAATCTTGTGCTTACCTTCTGGCCGTATTGTCGACGTGTCGCATTGTGGCCAAAATTTGTCATTTGTTTTGTGTTTAACGTGCATATTGAATGGGGGTTCCTCCTAAGGGAGAGCGGGCCTCATCTGAGCAGATGAGAGAGAGAGAGAGAGGACGAGGGACCCCATATAAAAATGATTCTTGGAAAACACGTACAGAGGACACACGCCCACTGCTACAGCGACAGCGACAGCGACAGAGGAATAGCAAAGAGAACATGGTGTTAAATAATTAATTACAATCCATTAATTAATTAGACAACGCAACGGGGGTCATTAGGCTAAGCAGCGGCACGAAAGGGGCCAAAGGACAATGGGACCACGGGAGAGGAATGGAATGGAATGGAAAGGAAAGCAAAGGAAAGGCAGCAACCATGAAGGAAATCGCACCAAAAAAAAGAACATTTGATACGACAGCTTGTACACATAATGCGACCATAATCAACATCAGAGAGCTGTTTGCCCCTTTTTCTATTTTGTTGGCCCTTCCACTGTTATTTTTGTTTTGTTTTGGTTTTCCTTCCTTGTTTTCCCTTCCTTTTCTTGAGGCACAATATGGGGTAGGGCAGTTGTATTTTATTGCATATTGTTAGGCGTGAAATTATGCCCCATACAGTTGCATAATTAATGGCATTTTCCTCAAGTCCAAGGGTTGTGCCCGCAGGCACCACAGCCTAAGCATTGATTTATTGTAAGAGCTCGTAGTATTCCATTGTCCCCAGCCCCAGACGCTGCCCTGACCCTCCCCCATTCTGAGTTGAATTTATGGCCAAACATTCGGAATTCAACAAAAAGTTAACTAGTGTCCCATACTACACACTGATATGAATCTCAGGGGAATTACCACGCCGCCACTTGTTGCCTTTGAGATGATCCATAGTCCCTAGGTGTATCCATGACACAAAGACTGGCGGCAATGATATGGCGACAAACAAGACAAACAAATGTATCGGAAAGGAGACCCACATATGAATAGTTATCAGTGGCAGTTTGATTTTCTTTTATTTTCCTAAGCACAATGGCCTATTTGATCATTACAGAAAGTGTGTTTGAAATATTTGCTCGAATTGGGTTACAAGTCGACAATTTCTTCAGGCATGATTTATTCATTAGAGAGACAGAGACAGAGAGAGAGAGCAGAGAGAGAGAGCGCAAGTGGCCTCTCTGTGATGCCTAATCAAATTGAATATTTATAAATTTCGATGGAAATTTTCGTGCCTTTCCGCTTGCAGCCTTAAATGCATTTTCCTTGCCATTTGACATTCAAGTGGGGAAAATCTGTTTATTTTCGGACACATGCAAGTACGTCCGAAAATCTCTTCAGCATCTTCTGTCAGCTGGCGGATCGATTGTGCAATAAAACACTGCAAGTGGACTGCCCGCCTCCGCACTCCACGGCCAAATCTCTACACTCCTCACTCTGGCAGTTGATGGTTAATGTTTGCCATAAAATTCCATTCAATTTCCCTCAGCAATTCACAAAAAAAAAAACAAATGCAGGACGAGCTGACCCAGGGAAATGGCATGGAAAACTTTTGTGCCTTGAAAAACAAAAGAGTAGAAAAAGCGGAGAAACTTTGCTGAAGCCTGTGTGTCCAAGGCAGCAAAGCAGCAGAGTAAAAACAATTGAATTATTGGCTATGAGAATGTGCGTCACTTGACCAAACTGCATGCAACATGTCCGGTGGGCGAGGAGGGGTGGGGGCACATGGCACATGGCATGTGGCAGATGGCAGATGGCAGTGCGGTCCCAGCAGCACAGGCAAACTTGTCCAAGCTGATAAATGGCCATCCAGAGGTGGACTGGATCGGAGTGCAGTCGTATCGAGCGAGCGGAATGGCGTTGCAGATGGAGATGGCGATGGCGATGGCCTGGATGGTCGAGTGCAGCTGCCACATGGCGTATGCGCAATGTGAATAAGGTGTGCCGGGGGTGCAGCATCCACACCGCACTGCAATGCACCTCGAATGCAATTGCAATATTTGGCAGCAACTTTTATTGCTCGACTCGGTAAACCACACAAAATATTGAGTTAATTTATCAAGAAATGGCCGTAAAGTGCCCATGTCCAGCCCGCTGGCCATTTTGTCAGCAAAATTGGCAGCCCTACGCCCATTGCCCCAGCACATGCGGCACCTGGCAGGCCACACGATTACATTGATCGCTAAGTAACTGAAATATTGTGGTTTCCCTGAGCTGTGGTCTGTGGCCCCGGAAAGGTAGTCCTTGCTGGTGGTCCTGCAGTTGTCGCAACTGTCGCAAGCATGCAGTTTTGTCGGTTTTCATATGCAATTTTCCAATCAATCAACCATTTGCTTCCCCTTTCAGCTGCTGGAAGCAAAGGAAATGCAACCGCAAATATAATTGACAGACAATTTTTTTCTTTGCATCTGCGACTGTCGTCGTCGTTGTCGTTGTCGTCGTCGCGTTTGAGCAAAAACGAACGGAAATGCTGAAATGCTACATAAAGAAATTCGAATGACATTTTCAAATGTATTCGCTATCCGATGCATCAGAGTTGCACTGAAAGACAGGCGCTCTTCCGGCCAAAAAGTGGTAAGGGGGCGTGGGGGAGTCGCTGGAACGACAAAGTTTTGTGGTGGAGTGTGGAGTGGACGTGGAATAAGTCTTTGGCAGAACTCATCGATCAGCCTGTCATCTGTGGAAGATGGGGCGGAAGCCCGCCGGATATCGAAAAATTGTAATTCAATTCAACATTGAGTGCAAGCATAAAACTGAATAAAATTCAGCTGGAAGCGGGGCAAAAACGAAAGGATTCAACCAAGGCTGGCCGGGATGTCAGTAGTTGCCAGCTTGCCACAAATGTTGCTTTAAAATGATCGAAACTAGAACGTTAATCAACGGCATTCAATGATCGATCAATCAGGACAAGCTCATAAATGTGCAAGTGAATTTTTGCATTTTCTTGCAGAGTTTGGAGGAATTTCACATATTAATTCAATGAATAAACAACCTCAAAATGATGAAGGCATCTGCTGCTGCTGCTGTTGCATTGCTGTGCAGTGCACTGGCCACAAAACCATAATTCCAATTAACTTATTGGTTTGCCCATCACTTTCCCTGTCACTCACTCAATCACTCGCTGTCTCTCTCTCTCTCTCTCCCCCGCTTTCGGCTTTTACTCTCTGCCTTTTACCAGCAGTGCCATTCGATTCGCTTATCCCATCTAATTCTCAATTGCAGGTGTTGTCCATCCATTCATCCTAGTCCCAGCCTCACTGTAAATCAATCTGTCGGTTAATAATGAACACACCTTCCCAACTCCCAACTCCCCAGCCCTTTCTTGCTTTCTCTCGCTTTTTGTGCGCTCAAATAGAGAATACCTACACATAGTATGTATGTATGTATGTATGTATGTATGTATGTATGTATGTATATATATATAGTATAACATATCTGAAACGCGACGGCGGCTTAATTAAAAATTGTAAGTGGCAGTAAATTAATTATAACCACGGCCCGCAAAGTGTTTGGCTTGCAGCTGCCGACAGCGGCACAGAGAAAGAGAGCGAGTAAAAGAGACAGATGGGTGTGTGTGTGTGTGTGTGTGTGTGTGGGGTGGGACTACACCTCCCTGCAGTTCCAAAAGTCACTTTTCACTCGTGATTCATTCGGTGAATCACTCATGGCATGTCCTCTGCCACTGGTGACTCACTGGTGAAACTCCAGATGAAATTTGTATGGACATGTCCGCTTTTGTCACTCGTGAAACTTCATATGAAATTGTCACTGAATTTTCTAGTGATTTCACCGGTGGCTTATACGTATAAGCCAGGAGTGAAATCACTCGGGACATGCCACGAATGATTTCACTGGTGACATGCCACGAGTGATTTCACTCGGGATATGCCACGAGTGATTTCACTGGGGAAACTCCCGAAAATGTCCTATATGAAATCACTCGTGATTCATTCGAAATATCCCATATGAAATCACTCGTGACTCTTTTGAAATGTCCTATATGAAATCACCTGTGAGACTTCTCATTAAATTTAACGGAATTTCACGGATAATTTCATAAGTGAAAGCCACCCAAAAATTTCTTTAAACACTTCATTCAAATAAAAGTAAATATATTTATTTTACACAGATTTTCTAGATTTTTCATTGATTTAATTATTTTTAATTATCTGTAGGGCCTTTCTTAACTGACTCGATCAGGTTAATAAGCACCAATGCTCCTGAAATGATATAAAAAATAAAAATATTTAGCCACGGAAGGTAATATTTTCTGAACTAACTTCTGAGTTATGTTCAGATTTGTATAAGGCAATACACATATGAAATTTGATTTTACCTTTGAGGCATTTTAAACAATTACTCCTGGACTAATATTTTGATTTTGACTTCAGAATTGTTTTGATCTGTAAATAAATAAGTCAATTTGTACATATATATTTTTTAATTAAAAATGCTGTATTTGCAGTTACATGGGTTTCCTCGAGCAAAAACAAACACTCGCAGCGACGCACATGGTTAACGGGACCACACCGCTTGAATGATCTAGAATCTAAACATACATATTTGTTCTTGCGAAACCCATGTACAAATTTAATTTAACTAACAACGCGCACTGTAATCACTGAATCCACTTACCTGACTTTAAAAACACTGAAAAACCACTTTTAAAAGGAATAACATGTAAAAAGACGCTCAACTCAAAAAAATCACAGCCGCTCGCAACAAAAGATTGCACCAAATAATCGGTTTTTCTCCCCTCATCCCTTTGAGGAGACGAAATGCGCGAGAGTAGAAGAGTTAGGGTCGAATGCAGGTAGAGAAAACTAAAAATATGAGAGAGAGGGAAATCTATGGATATCTGCTTCTCTTTCTTACGAGTCAGCTTCGATCTGCAGCAGTTGAAGCTGGTCAGAATTTCATGCTGACGTCGACGTCGCTGCCTTTGTCGGATGGAGCCCGAACAATTTTTCCTATGACACTTTCATGCCGTGACAGCCAGAACTGCAGGGCTACTACTTCGACAGCAACTACTCTGTATCTGTATCTGTGTGTGTGGGGGTCTGGGTCTGGGTTGGAGTACTTCAAAGGGAAGCGTTTTAATCAAATTTCGAAGAGTGGCACCGCTTGCCATGCATGGCCATGTGGCAAATTGTGATGTGGGTAAGACCACCAGTGAATAGGATGGGGCCCCAGCAGCCGCCCAGACCCCCGTGAGACGCTCATTACAATCAAATCATTGCAGCCTTTCCCTGCACCGTGATGAGTTGAGTCTCCGAACAAAAGTAGTCCCAGGCAGGAAGTTGTCCTGCATCTCCCTGCAAAGGAATGGCCAGGATGGGCCCACAAATTGAAAGTACAGACGCCGAAACAAAGACAAAAAGGTGGCTGGGTGGTGGGGGGTAATTGCGCTGCATGTGGCCTTTCCTGCAGGAAATTCTACTCTATTTTGCAAAAATCATTTCCGGAGCCCCATGCTAAATTATCCATAAATTGACACGGCTTCTCAATCAGTTCTGAAGTGGTTTACATTCCATTTGCCAAATGGGATGTGCCGCTGCAGGGTGCAGGGTGCCAAGTGTTGACTGCAGACTGCAGACTGCAGGTGGATGTGTCCCCATAGGAATGCAATTAATTGCAGTTTCGTCAAAGAACTTTTAATGGTCGTTCGTTGATGATTGATGAATCTGCCTAGCATTGCTAGTGGATAATTGAAGTGGTCTTGAAATGAGAATGTGGCATGCCCCCCCTCCCACATCACATTTATCGTTTCTCCATGGGGCACTAATTACAGAGAATGTGCCGTGCCGAGCCGTGCCGTGCCGCGCCGGTGATGCCAGACAGTTGCAACGCCCAGAAATTAAGTTGGCAGCACCAAAATGCAAGATACAAATTTAATCTTGTGGGGATAGCCATTATTCTAAAGTTAAATCAGCATTAGTTGTGCCATAGTTTGTGGTTTTGGCTGCTCTAATTTGAGGCAAAAACCTGGAAGCTCAGTTGCCATACAGCTGTCGCCCAGGCCAGTGGGCGGCTTTGGGTTGGTGGGTGCTGGGGCAGCTTCCGTTTGAATCATTTCGTACAGAGGCCCAGGTACAGAGGCCCGAGGTGTCTGGTGTCTGGGTTCATTTTTATCCATTGAAGCGTGCCACCGATTGAAAATTTAATTTCCCGCCTATGGCACTGGCATAAAAAAAAAAAAACAAAAGCAGCAGCAGCAGGATGACAACTCAGTCCGTGTCCATGTCCATGTCCGTGTCCGTGTCCTGTCTGTGCGAATGGCAATGGCAATGGCAGGGAAGAAATGGAAGGAAGTTGCAGAGGAAGAGATGTGCTACCGGTTTAGAGTCGGCCAATGTATTTCCGTTATATTCCAGTGGTGCAAATGGATTTTGATTTGGTTGTGGTGCTCCTCGGTCTCTCACTCTCTCTCTCTCTTCGTCTGTTTTTGCAATAATCTGAATTGCCATGGCCACTGCGGCCAGTCGGTCGGCAGAGAGTCTTTCAAGCTGTATTTCCTGTTTCAATTTGCCGATTTATTTATTGCCTGAACAGCCGAAACAACGATGACAAGACGAAGCTTCAGCGCTCGACAGATTTCCGCTCGAGTGCAGCTGTAGAACAAACATTGATACATATCCAAATTTTGTGCCCCAATTTGGGCTGCTCCAACCCACACCCCACACCTCACACTCTGCAATAATCTCACTCACTCTCTCTCTCTCTCTCCCTCTATATCTCTTTCTGTTGCACTGTGAAGGTCTCTCCAAACGGCCATTGGGGCCGCCACATCGTAAAAGCAGTCTACCAAAGCATCAGGAGGTGAAGCGTCGCTTCCTGGAAATTTGTGATACCAATTTCTCGGACGAGGTGAAGGCCGCCCTCCGCCTGCCCGCCTTCGATTCGTACGAATGGGGCGATGCCGATGTCATCCACCTGATGCAGACGATGTTCATCGAGCTGGGATTCATTGAGAAGTTCAGCATTCCCGCAGAGACGCTGCGCGAGTGGCTCTATGAGGTCTACAAGCATTACAATGAGGTGCCGTTCCATAATTTTCGTCACTGCTTTTGCGTTGCCCAAATGGTGAGTAATTTAATTCTACATAAATTTATACATACGTAGCACATACATACGTACTACATACATACATGCATATGTATAGCTAAGATGTAATTTGTATGTTCACAATTGCCAGCCGGATCCCAACAAAATATTTCAGTATTGTTTTTGTAAAAATTTAAGACTTTTCGTACTTCAAGCCAGTGCCAGAGCGGCATTTTGCCGGGTGCGGGGGGTGCTCGTATGGGAATTGCTGCTTACTTTTGCTTTAATAGCGCTGCCACATCCGAGTGGCCGCCGAGTGCGAGACTGACTCCCCTGTTGCCAGGCACAAAGTGATTCATGTTGCCTTATATTAATAGCACAGCACAACACAGCACAGAGATACACACACACACGTACCATGCATATACACAACTATTCACAACGAAGGAAGCTTATAATGAATGAATGTGAATGCGAATGTGAATGTGAATGTGAATGCGGATCCCCGAGCGGATGTTCAGATTGCAATCGATATAATGTGGGAATTTACATATATATCCACCCGCCATATATTCACGTACTTGTAGTCGTATTTCCATATCATAACGTGCTACTACAAAACCATACACACACACACACACACACGACACTCAGATTCGTACACACACAATGTGCGTCGCTACACCACCGCCCTGCCACAGCGTTGTATGCAATGCAAAAATAAACGAAAGCGCCAAAGGGCAAACCTTACAAGCAAGCACACAGCTACAGATACAGATACAACTATATCTATAGCTACATATACATACATACATACATATTGTATCCATGTGTGTGTTGGAGCAAGGCCTATTTTTAGCTGCCAAGATACGAGAGAGATATACATACAAAGAAGAAGACCAAGAATTTTGCCTCACTTTAAATAGCAACACTTTCGGCGTTTGGCGTGGGGAGGATCGGGTCGGGTACGGGTCGGGACGGGTTGGCTTGGCATGGCTTGGTTCTATGCAAAATGGTCACTCACCCAACACGGTACAAAAAAACAAAAAAAAAAAACAACAACAAAAAATAAAAGGAAAGAGCGCACGAAAAACGGGCATGGGAATGGGGATGGGAACGGACTGCCCCTAAAACCCCGTGCCAGCACCAGCACCAGCACCAGCCCCCCACTCCTGGCAGCACTTAGACCAGCGACCCACTTGGCTGCTCAAGGGCCAACGAAACATTTTTGTAACCTAAATTTTTGGCAAATGAAACACGGTACGAGCCGCAATATTGGTGGCAACTTTCTCAACTAAAATGTTTCCCCAGCAATCATTTAATTATGCTCACTCTATCACCATAGATGGAATGCAAAACAAGGAAAAGAAGAAAAGAAGCAAGAGCATGCTTGAAAATCTTATCGCACGCTTAGAGGGTGTCTGCCAGTCCGTTCTCACTCGATCGGGCATTTATTGTGGCATTTGCTTCAGTTCAGTTCAGTTCCGTTTCTCGTGCGGTGCATTAAATATTAATTCCTTGTTTTGTGTGCACTTTAATATTCATTCGGCCTTAGCTCGGACATAAGCTAAAGCTAAAGCCGAAATGATTTAAAATAATTTCTCCTGTTCATTTCATAGTTTGCCATTGCAAGTGCACTTAGTCGTGGCTTCACTGTGCACGGACACGTTTCGCCCCCACCCCAACTTTCTGAGAGGCTAAAACAAAGACACACACACATACACACACATACATAGCAAATGAAAACTTTAATAAATTATTTTTCCTGGCAACAAAGGCAAACGGGTCAGGGATAGAGTGGCATAGGGTAGGATGTGGGATGGGGTGATGTGAAATGGGAGGCAAGGACGGACGACCCACTGCTGAAAGAGTCAAATGTTGGGTGTTCTGCAACAATGGCAGAATGAAAGTTGAAATTAACAATGTGGGAAAGAGAGAGAGAGAGACGACAGAGTCAGATAGTCAGAGCATTAAGTATACGCACGGTTGCCCACAGCCAGAACATTGCAGCGAGCAACAAATACAACAACAACAGCACAAGCACAAGCAGCAGCAGCATCCAAATGACAATTGCATTATGATTCCCGTTGTTGTTTTTGCTGCTGCTGCTGCTGCTGCTGGGAAATATGTTGCCCGTAAACCGCATTATGTGCTAGACAAAACATGGCCATTCCACACAACACAACACACACAAACACACACACGAACAAGCAGCCAACAGAAAGATAGAGAGATGGAGAGAGACAAAAGGGAGAGAGAGAGAGAGAGAGACAGAGACAGAGTCAGAGTGAGTGTGAGAGAAAGCGGGTGCCGCCCCCATTGTTGCCACGGCCATTTTGTTGTCATCGCCATCGTCATCAGCGTTAGCGTCATCAGTGTCCACGTCATCGCTGTACTGTAATATTTTTATGGCTGCCCTGCACCATCCGCACAAAAATCAGTCCCTTTAGGAGTGGACACACAAGCCCCGCACAGCCATGCAGCAAAATTTGCACCCAAACGAACTTGAGGAGTTGCTTGAGCACACGCAAAAACATGGAAACACATTTGCAAAAGTACCTGAAAAGTATATGCCACGCATATTGAAGAGTTTCAATGGAAGCCACACAATATGTGGCAGCTGCTCGCCATATTTACTTGCCTAAAACAGTCACTGAGGTTCAACGTTTCTGCGTACACTCCAGTGTACTCCTGTAATCATAACGTAAATATCCTCATATTAAAATAATGGCAGCCACGAGGCGTTAGGGGTTACCCTTTAACAGTGGGGAGGGGGGGCAACTGATCCAAGCAGTATCCAGCTCTAATTGCTCCAATTAAATACTAGAACTCATGGCTATTATTTACAGTACTACATATAGCATGTGGCTAGTTCCCGCATTGTTCTGATTGACTTAATCGGCCAGCAATTGCCAACGATGACACATAGACACATATATCAAGAAAAAAATGTATAAAAAAAAATATTACAAAAAAAACCAACAACGTTCGCTTTTCTACACATGAAAAAATCAGCCATACGAATATTTTTTTTTTCATTGCATTTGGTTGTAAATTTAGCCTGCAAAATGCTATTCAGAAATACCATGAATGCCGCCCAACCATCCTCCTCCATATGGATGTCAGTGTGTGTCTGGGTCTGTAAAATGCCTGAAATATTATACATTTTTGTTGAGTGTTGAGGCACAAAAAAATGAAAGTCATCCATTTAGCAGATTCCTTTTGGAAATGGAATATGGCTCCATAAATCGATTATAAAATGCTTGCATTTTGACATCCACCTGACAGTGTTCACTCGCTCCCTTTTTGTGTTTCATTTTCCCCTTTTTACCTTAACCCGTTTCTGTTCCTCCGTTCTCCCTTCTACGTTCCATTTCCCCTTGCCCTATCCATTGGATTTTTTTTCCCCGCCATCAACATTGGAATTGGGGCCAAATATCTGCCATCCATATGCGTTGGTGCATATTTTACAATTCAATGGGCGTCCATTTGCATAGGCGGGGTGGGTCATGTCTATGTGTCTGTGTGTGTGTGTGTGTGTGTGTGCGTATATATATTCTGTACTGTGTGTGTGAAGTCGGAGAAGAGAACTCTCGCAGGACATGACAGTCAAGCCGTTAAGCGGCTTTTTTTTCTGTTTTGGTTTTGTTTTTTTTTTTTTTTCTGCACTAAACCCACAAACTGGCGAACAAAAATTGAGCATTAAGGCCAACAACACGCATAAAACCGTAAATTTAAATTATTGAACAGATCCCCCCCTCGGGATTCACTCCTACACCCCTACGCACCACAACCCCTCCCCCCTCCCTCGCCCGGTGGAACTTGTGGGGGCGTGACCAAACACTTTGACTAATTTCCATTGGCTGCACTTTCCATCCAACGCTGCCGTTGATTTCCTTGGAGTATTTTTGTCCGCTGCAAACTTTGCCAACGAGCAGAAAATGCATCGCTCACCCAGGGGGAAATTTGGTGGGGCGGGGAGCGGGGAGGAGGTTTTTGCTGCGTGGCTGGATGGGTGGGTGGTTGTCCGGATGGGTGGGTCGTTTGCTCTGCCGATGGGCTGGCTGCTTGTCTGCGTGTCTGTTTGTGGACAATGAATTTAGATAAACTTGCGAAATTCGAAACGCAAACAGCATTTGCATTTGCATAAATTTCAAGCAGCCCTCTCCCCACTACACCACCCACAACTCCATCCACATCCCCCGCTCCCCATTTGCACTTAATGCCAAAGTAAACGCAGCGGCGGCAAAAGTTGTGCAACAACTTTTACGACCAAGAACCCCCCCATCGCCCTCCTGACTATATCGCACCCACACCCCACAGCCCACACCCTTTGAGGTAGTACAACTTGGGGGGGGGGCGCAGCAAAGCGCAAAGCAAACTTTACGCTGCTTTTGTATTTCGAAAAAGCTTCAATTGAACACTGTTGAAATTCCTTGAGGGTCTCTCGCCAGCAAAGTCATCTTCATTTGCAGCAAACGATTTTGCTGCCACTGGGCATTCCACACACACAGACACACGCACACCTTGCCACACTGCTTGCCACATAGCCATGCCACACCGACGCATGTCTGCACTGCATAGCCTGCCTGCCTGCCTTCTTGCCTGCCTGCTTGCCTGCCTGCCTGCCTGCCTGCCTGCCTGCCTGCTTGCCTGCCTGGCCCGTGCCCACTGGCTGCTGCACGGTGCAGATGCTGGATGGCTGGATGGCTGGGATGGCGGATGGGTCCTTCTACTGGTAATTGCAAAGGTCTCGCACCAGACAAATTAAGTTCGCTTCGTGGCTAAAGGGCTGCAGGGGACGGCGGCAAGGTGAGGCGCGACAGCACCACACGATAGAATCCGATATAGGAGAATGCTCCTGGGGCCAGAGCCAGGGCCAGGGACACGAGCACGGCAACGGATAAGGGCAAGTACACGGTGCATGGTACACGGTGCATGGGGGGTGGCATGGGGCAGCTTAAAGTAGCAACTGCTTGATGGCAATGTTTAAATGTTAAACTGGCAGCGCTAATTGCTGGCTCAAAGATAAATGGACAGATAATTGAGGCGCATCCACCTATGATTGGGTGCTTGATAGTTGGATAAATATAATGATTATATATGTAGTATATGGATTAATATATCTTCTATGTGCAATCGCAATTACAGATGTACGCCATTACACGCCAAGCGAATCTGTTGAGCCGCCTTGGCGATCTCGAGTGTCTCATCCTGCTGGTGTCCTGCATCTGTCACGACCTCGATCATCCCGGCTACAACAATATCTACCAGATCAATGCTCGCACCGAGCTGGCACTCAGGTGAGTGCAACTCAACCAATACCGATACCAATCCCTCAACTAATTACTAATTTCCATTCAGATATAATGACATCTCACCGCTGGAGAATCATCACTGTTCGATAGCATTCCGTTTGCTGGAGCATCCCGAGTGCAACATATTCAAGAACTTTAGCCGTGACAGCTTCAAGTGAGTAAACCCGCCTTTAAATTTATATTTTCTTGGCCCATTCGAGTTGCAACCTTCACAGCCTGTCGGTGTGGGAGTGTCCGTTGTCCAGTGTCCGTTATTCGTATTGGGTGGGGGAGTTGGCGGCAATTAATTGCCAACTTGGCTGCGGCCACTTTATGCACGGCACGTACCAAATGGCATTGCATTAAACGCTTGCCCCATTGCCGTGGTAATTAACAGTTACCTGCACAGCTGCCTCGTGCAACACCTATGCATCGCCATGCATCCCCCAAGGCCCCACGCCCACTTGACCCAACCAACAACCAACAACCACTCCCATTGCCACTTCCACTTCCACTGTCTGCAATCCATGCCAAGGCACGACTGTGAAATGTATCGATTTGGTACTTGCAAAAAAATAAAATAAAATAAATAAAAATACAATAAAATAAGTAGCTGTAGGATGTGCTTGTAGCTGTTGGTGGGTGGTGGGTCTGTTGCCACAATGCAGTGGGGCTGCAAATGAAGATTAAGTTGTAATTGGCCCGGACAGGGCATAATCCGGGCGCTCAGCTTGCCCATAACTTCATTTTGGCGCTTTTATTGCGGCATGTAGGAGGGGTGCGTGGGTATCGGATCGGATCGGGCCATTCGTCGAGGGCCATTGAATGCAATCGAGTTAAGCGCCGAATGCGCCAATCGAATACAGTCAGAACAATAGCAAGGTATGAAAATATCAGCGCCAACGAAATCAGATGGAATTGAATGGTGGGGCTGGAGCTGGAGCTGGGGGTTGTTGCCTCGTGGGATAATTCATAAAAGAGTTAAGCTGCATTAAGTCGAACACAACCGGAAACATTTAATTGGCGATGGCATCGCTATTTCCAGCAAACGAAAACAACAAAAAACTCAAGAAAATTCGACTACGCGTCGTAGAATGAAATTATTGCACGGATGCACGCGTAGGAGTGCACGTATATGGTGAAGATTTCCGGTTCACCTCAGTGAATAACGGACAATAAATCGAGGACAGCAAACAGCTGAAGGCGACTTCTTGTAAATGTGGGGGAAGGGTGCCGGTTGTGGACATAGTTTTGTTTTTATACAAACATATGTGTATCAATTAAAAGCTAGAGGTTAGAGGTCTCAGGATAGCTGCCAGTAAAGCAATTCGATTTATTTCTTCATATATAAAAATTTTATAAAAAATTTAGTAAAGTGCAAAAAAAATATATATATTCCCTGCACGAAAAATCCGCTGAAAAATAACAAAAATAACGAGAAAACAAAAGTTTATTTATTTGAAGAGACTTCACTGGCATAAAGAACCAATCATGAAAGAGACTTTTCACTTTACTCATCGCAGTGCCTTGAAGCGCACCGCAAAAAGAATAAAAATCAATTATACTTTTATGCTACACCAATGCAGATATTTGTTTCGTTATCAAGAAATAAAAACTGTGTGTTGTTGGCAATTACGAACCATAATACTCAGATCAGTAGCAGAACTGCTTGCTGGCCAGTTCACGTGGGGCTGGTTACCCCCAGGCACCTTTTCCCTGCTCAAATGTGATAAAAGAAATATAAAATAATTTTAATAAATACCTATACTGGCATTTCAGCCCCATCAATAGTGCAAGCCACAAAAAGGCCACGTTTCGTGCAAGTAAATTCCCCCGATGGCGATTACCTAAACAAACACAACGACCTATGCAAATCCCAGTTTATCGTTAACTACTGAACATTTTGCGGTTAACGCGGTGGCGAAAGATAGGGGGGGGATTGGGAGATGGGGAGGGTATGCCAACAAAGTGCGCTCGCGCGTTATCCGTAATTAATAATCTATGCGTAATCTATGCTGGCCAAGTTCACGTGGGGCTGGTTACCCCCAGGGGCACCTTTTCCCTGCTCAAATGTGAATAAAAGAAATATAAAATAATTTTAATAAATACCTATACTGGCATTTCATGCCCCATCAATAGTGCAAGCCACAAAAAGATGCCACGATTTCGTGCAAGTAAATTCCCTCCTACTCGTATTCGGCGATTACCTAATTTAATCAAACACAACGAAAATCTCTATGCAAATCCCAGTTTATCGATTAACTACTGAACATTTTGCGGTTAACGCAGAGTGAGCGAAAGATAAAGAGGGGGGGGATTGGGGAGATGGGGAAGGAGTTATGCCAACAAAGTTTGCGCTTTCGCGCAGATTATCCGTTAATATAATAAATCTATGCGATGGCTTAGCGCAGCATTTTCTGCGGCCGAGAACACCGCCGCACTCCTCTCCTGCCTGACCTTGCGACCCCTTTAAGCTTCTTTTTTGCCTCCTTGCCTGCCCCACCGTCCATGGGGCATTCTTATTTGCGACTCTGCAGCGCAGTCAAAATATTCTCAATCAGAAAGCGATCCATTCACATAGACTAATCAACTTTCCAGCTGCCAGGGTAGCCAGCACACGCTGCATCCTTCATTCTCGTTGTTTGGTTTTTCTTTTTTTTTTGTTCTGCGGTTTTTCTCGCAATTTCATTTATTTAAATTTTTTTTCTTTTCTTATTTTTTGTTGTTGTTGCATTCATTGCGTGCATTTTATATTGGAAAATATTCCACGAACACTAATTAAGTGGATTAGGCGGGGAAATGCTTTCTTCTTCTACATTTTCTTTTGCCTGCGTCGGGTTTGACGGGTTGAAGCAAAGTAAGCGGTGCAAAGCGGCTGTGGCTGTGGCTGTGGCAGTGGCAGTGGCAGCCCGCTGCCACATCATCATCAGCATCATCAGCATCAGTATGGGGCTGAGGAGCATTATCAGGCCACAGCGCAATCAGCAAGCAAAAGGAATAGGTGCCCTTGGAAGCAGACTTTGCTTAGCTCTACTTCAACCCATTCTTTGGCTGTTATATCTGCTGTACTTGCTCTCACTCACTCTCACTCCATCTCACTCACTCTCCCTCTCTTCCTCTCTCCGTCTCTCCATCTCTTTTTCTATCTCTGTTCAAAATTCCCATTCTCCTGCTGCTTGAAGGCGTTTTGCTGGCAAGTTTGCGTGCATAAACTATTGCATACTTTTGGGAGTTTCTGATGGCAAAACTTGTCGTATGTAGAACATATCGCATGCATACATATAACGAATATATGTTGCATGTACGTGTGTTTATATATGTATGATCAAATGCCAGATGCTGCCGCTGTTGCCTTTGCGCTTGTCAACAATTTGCAGTCAGTTGTCATTGCAGAGTATTAGGAGACATGCGGCATGCGGCATGCGACCTGAGGCATGCGTCATGAATGTGCATGAATATATTTAAGTACTTTGGAGGCTTACACTTTTGTGACTGCAAGTTTCTTGCATACGACTGTCGCCGTTGCTGTCACTGTCATTTCCCAGCAAATAACTAAAATATTTAATTAGATTTCTCTTGGCATTTGATTTTCTTGCACTAATAATCACCTTGAATGGCAAAGCATTATCCCCCATTACTAGTCAGAAAGGCACACTTTTCGTTGGAATTTCAATTCCAAAATCCATCTCTCTCTCTCTCTCTCTGGGGAGTGGTGTGGGGTTGGGGGTTTAATTTGTTTATTTCTATTTTGTTTTCGAATAGAAAATTAAAGGGAAGAGCTTTCGGGGACAAGGAAGGTGTCAATTAACTTAGAGGGCCCGTCAACGATTAACATTTATTGATTCAAAACCAAAGAGGGCATGGCAAAGTGGGGATATTAATGCACAAGAAATGGAGATGAATCGATTTAAAATTCGCTTCGATGGGCCTCAGCCTCACCAAATGCGACACTTGTCCGGCGAACTCATTCGACTGCCTGCCTTGCACTGAAACACTTCGAGAAACTCGGGAAAGTTTCCCAGCACATTGTTGACCCGCTCCGCGTGTGTCGCATGCTGCCCGGCACCAGCACCAGCAGCCCCCAATGGGGACGCTGCACTGCCACACCAGTTCTGGGCAAAGGCGACAAAGAAGGTCTTCAGGCCCCTGGGATCGGTGACACCTCGATTCGCGCGCTGCAGGCGGTAACCCTCAAAGGCCAGTCGCAGCCCCTCGGTGTCCGCCATGTTCTCGTTGATGGTGAGGGTGGCGTTGCTGTAGCGGGCGCCCAAGTAGCAGCCGGCACGCAGCCCGAACCGTATGATGGCCCGCGGTGGCCACTGGCCGTTGGCCAGCTGTCCGCTGGCATCGTAGTTGATGCCGTCATAGTCGAGGGCGTGCATCATTTCGTGGCCCAGAATGGAGCCCATGGCGCCGGCCTGTCGAGCCACCAGGTCCGTCGTATTGACGCACCACGGCATCACCGACGGCGTGGTCAGCAGCCCCAATGGCAGCTCAACGGCGTTCTGCCTCAGGCGATAGTAGGCGTTCACGGACAAGGGATCCAGACCGAGGCCGAGGCCCTCCACGGGCGGAGAACCGTCGCAGGCCTGCTCCTGGCAGTCGATCACCTTGCGGAACTCGGCCAGGGCCCGATTATGTGACAGCTGCAGCAGGTTCTCGTCGTAGTTGCTGCTCAGCGGCTGGGCGCCGCTTTGGGGCTGTGCCTCCGCCACTGTTTTGGGGAGGAGCAGCCGCATGTCGCGCAGCTTCTGTATGGCCAGCGTCTGGGTGCTCCGGTCCGCCTCGAACACGTCCGTCTCGTTCAGCTGGCGCTCGAACTGCTGCTGGAGGCGGCGGAAGAGCCGCTGGACACGCAGCACCAGCCCCTCGTAGACCGCGGGATCGTCGCCCAGCACGAGGCGGATATGCAGCTGGGCGAGCTGGCGAGGCAGCAGCTGACTGAGCTGCTCGAGGCAGTGACGTTGCCGCACGACCAGCTTGTCGTCGTCGTGCAGGTGCAGCTCAAAGTGGGCGGGCAGCTGGAGGAGCAGCCAGGTGGAGAGCACCAGCGGATCCGCGCCGTCTGTGCGCTGCAGCAGCCGCTGCAAGCGGCCCAGGTACTCCTGGTCGGCCACCACCAGCAGCTTGTCCGTGTCGCCCGACGGCAGTCCCTGGAGCAGCAGATCAAAGTAGCGCCGCAGCTGCAGCTGGGGCAGCTGCTGGACCAGCTGGCTGAGGGGCTGCGGTTCGCGCAGCACCAGGGTCTGCTCCGCGGGCAGCAGCTGGCGCAGCTCCCGCTCGAACTCCACCAGCCGCTCGGCCAGGGCGGCCGCGCGTCGCACCCGCACCCCCAGCTCCAGCAGCAGGCTCTTGAGGTAGCGCTGGTACAGGAACTCGCTCATCGAGTTGCTGCCGAGCAGCGCGAAGTCGGGCGGCAGCAGGTAGAAGATGCTCTGGTCCGCCGCCTGCCAGTTGGGTTGCACCAGCAGGCGCCACAGGCTCTGCGCTCCGAAGCGACGCAACCCGGCGCTCGTTGCCACCCAGTCAAAGGAGGCCGAGGCATTGCTGACCAGCGGCCAGTAGCCCCTGCGCTCCAAGGCCTCTGTGTAGACGTGCAGGCTCTGCTGGTCGGACATGCAGCTGCCGTAGAACGTGGCCAGCTGATCCGGCTCCGCTGTCGGCGGCAGTCCCTCGAAGTGGCGCACCAGACGCTGCTTGTGCCCCGCCGCCCACTTGGTGCGCATGTCGTGGGCGCCAAAGGCCCTCTGGGAGCTGTTCGCATGCCAATTGCCACACGCGTACTGGTGAAAGTTGTCGCAGGCCGCCTCCGTGGTGTCCATCTCGTTCTCCATCTGCCGCTGGCAGTTGCCCAGTTCCCAGTCCAACGCAGTTTCCGCTTCCGCTTCCGCATCGCACTCGCCGCAGTGCCAGTGGCCTAGCAGCAGCAGCAGCACTCCCAGCCACGTCCAGGTAATCCGCGGCAGCTTCATCTTCATCTTCACTTGCGTTTAGCGTCAGAGGCTTTTGTGTACTGCTTGCTGGCTCTGGCTTGGGCTTGGGCTCGGGCTCGGGCTCCCCCTGCTGCTCCGGGGCAAATGCGTCGCATCGCGTCGCGGCGTCGATAAGCCGCCGTGCCTGATAAGGGTGCCCTGACATTCGCCTTCTGGGCCAATGCCATAACGGCGAGGGCTGCCCGAGCAGTTCGTTCCTGGGGCTTCCAATCATCTAATTGGGTGGGGTGGGGAAATCCCCCCTCAAGCCACGCAAGTGCTTCCACACCGCAAACGTAAATACCTTAAAAAAAGCATTCAAAGAAAAGATTTTTTTCAAATAATAATTTCAAGCATTTCCCCGAATCTTCCCGGAAACAGCTTTATGACGATTTGTAACCACAAATTTTCTGCACTAAATGGGGCCATGTGGGTTAAGAATTCGCGCTGACACCAGAAACACTCGCCCTCTCGCTCACACACACCCACTGTCGGCGCGTCTCTAATGATTACCGTTTTGAGCAAGGAAGGAAGGCAGGCGAGCAGGAAGGCAGGCAGACCCACGTGTAATCAATTAATCAGCTCAACCATTCTCTCGCTCTAGCCAGCTCCCTCTTTCACACGTCCGAGTTCCAAATTAACGGAACATCTCAGACGCTTTTCGTCGCCCTTCAAGAGCGACGCACACACACACACACACACGCATACAGTCACTCACACCTCTGACTGAGAGCAAAGCTCAGTGCGATTAGATTTTTAGTTGGAGGGTGAGTTAAGTTTACATTCGCGTAGCTTTGGGTTGAGAGGAACACGAAAACGGTGGGCAGATGAAAGCGTAGCGAGAGAGCGAGTGCGAGTGCGAGAGAGAGTAGACAGAGAGACGGCGAGACAGGAGCAGACAGGAACAGACAGGAGCAGACAGTAGCAAGCAGTAGGTGTGGCTGGGTGTCATCCAGAAATGAGAGCATTTACCAAACTATTTTCCAATGTTTATAGTACCTATGGTATTTACTAATGTATAATTTCAACATCGAGCGCTTCCAATGGATCGGAAGTAACAAGACCAAAGCTTATAAATTATAGTTTCAATTTATCAGCGTTATATTTTAAACTCAAGCGAAAATACATATGTACATACGTCTGTCTCCTGGCATTTATTTACATTTATTTTGAGGAGAATTTTCAGTGTTGCACTTTTTCCGATAACATTTTATATTTAATTTATTCAAAGGAACGGTGGCATTGTATTCTTCCATATCCTTCTTTCCAACCATATTCCTTTATCTGTCTATTTCTATATACCATAATATATCCCTATATTCTTTGAGTACAGTTTTTGTACTCAAATATTTACATATGTCTGTATCTATATTTCGTGGTATATATATATGTATTTGTTCCTTTCAGATATTCCGTAATTAGTTGTATGTTTTCAGTGGAGGGATTGCTTAGGTATTGGCTGATTTTCGGGTATTTGAATATGTTTTGTTTCACTGGCAGATCGGGCCAGTTTCGTGATGTTATAGAAACATAAAAATTAAAAAAGATATGTGCCTTAAAAACAGTTTCCAGTGCGCAGCTTCCTTTTGTATTTTCTACGATACAGTACCCCTGCCCCTGCCCCTGCCCCTGCCCCTGCCACATACCTTGCCACTATCATTCTCGTTTGCTACGCTCATTCCTTGGCCAAAGTGATATGCGTGTGCTATCGCTACTTGTACTACTTATCGTTGAGTGCCCAATCAGCAAAGTTAAGTTCCGGTTACATGAAAACCACAACAACAGGAAAAAATTCAATCAAAATTCCGCAGACAAACCGCCAAAGCGGTATGTGCGGGGTAAAGCTCCAGCTTTCTGGGAGGGTGGGGGGTGGATTGGGTGGCATTGTTTTGTAAGTAAAGAGTAAACTTAAAACCAGCTGCTGCTGTGCTCAAACCAAGAATAAATCATCAAAGCGAGCAAATAGCAGATGTAGGAGTGGGGAGAGTGGTGAGAGTGGTGAGTGGAGAGTGGAGAGGGGCGATAGGGGATGGGGGGATACTCCTAAGTTTCGAGTTGAGCTTTGGCTGGTGCTCGACGCCCGCCTCCCGACGCTTTTCATGCAATTATTTAGTCATAATTAGCGCATAATAGTTACCGTTTTTTGGGCAACGCTCAACTTTTGCTCATTTCTCATTTTGCACCCCTCCTCCCCTTCGCACAATTCATCATCATCAGCAGGGTGGGGAGGGAGGTTGGAAGTGGCAAGAGCAGCAGCAAACCAGAGATGGATAATCACTGCATTAGAATCTCTACAAAAAAATATTGAAAGGCAGCCGCTTCAGCTGCTTTTAAGGAAAGCAAAGAAGAGCCCAAGGCTGGACGAATTCTGAGACGCGAAATATACCCCGATCCGGTGTAAATTTTGAGCGCAGCCTAAGATGGATTTCATGCCACAAGTGAATGGGATTCCTCCATTCAAGCAGTTACCATCATAGTCCCTGGCATTGCCAATCAATGGATGGCTACTTCATTTGCTTTGTTATCCCTTAAATCGCAATTTGAACTGCAGATATGGCGCACACTGTAGCGCCTAATCCCCACCACCCCCCAAAAGCCACGTGGCTGCACCAGGTATTAATTAATTGAATGCCATTACTAAGCGCCATAGTCGTGTCAGTCGTGTGCCAGTGCATGGCCAGGGATATGCCAAATCCAGATGAAGATGTTGAGGGTGTGGGGGTGCCTGTGGGAGTGCGTGTGGGAGTGCCTGTGGGAGTGCCTGTGGCGGTGGCTGTGGCTGCGATCCGTGTGCGGCGGACCCACTGTGGTAAATGCTATTTGAGCACCGAAACGCATTCCATTTGCAATTCGTTTCGGATTTAGAAATCGATTTCAATTGTTTATGGGGGAGGCAACTCTTTCGCCTATTGGCGTCCAATTAAAAATCCTTTGCTCTAACGATCGTTTGTATTGTTTATTCAACGCATTCTTTACACTTTCCCGACTTACCCATTCTCTGTTATTTCTACCTATTTCGCTCTGAGGCAACTCTCTTTTTCCACTTTTTTTTTAACTTATTTTCCAATCGTATTTTGCCATCACAATGCCAGACATTGTTTGGTTATTGATGTGAACGCAATTTTCCACTCAATTTTTAGCGGAATTCTATCAACAAAATGTTTCACTAAGCCGATTGAGCCCCCCACCCACCACTCCACCCAAAAACTCATATCAAAGCTGTTTCAGGCGCAGCCCCCTGTCAGAGCCAGAAGTGAAAGAAAGCGAAAATAATAAAATAAAATAAAATAAAATAAAAATATATAAAATAAAAATATTTTCCAATGTGACAGACGCTCTATTTGCACTTTAAATGCGGCAGGTGCAAGACGCTTACCCTGCAACAGGAGACGGAGACGGAGTAGGAGAAGGGGAAGAAGTTGATGTTGAAGTTTCTGCGGAAGGCAGAAGGCAGGGAGGCAGCGCCAAAGTCTGCCACGTCAATGCAGCGTGACACGAAAAATTCTATTTATCAAACTTGAAAATTTGTGCTTGGTTCTCTCTATACCCTGGAAAAACGCATAAAAGGAGAAAATACAACACATCAAATTATTTTTGAGCAGCAGAAAGCTGATCTTCTGCCCATCAATCTCTCGAAATCCGACTTCTATAACATATATGCAGCCATGGGAACGATGGGTAACTGAATTGGTGACTGCCATCGTATCTGGGCAGGGCATACCCTAACGTTCTTCGTCTTCCTCCTGCTGGTGCTCCTGCTGATGGCTGGGCTTTGCCTCAACTGCAAATAAAACGAAATGCGATTTGATATTTTACGCGCTGCATTTGTCCGTCACCTCCATTCCTGCTCTCTCGCACTCTCTCTCTCCCTCTCTCTTGTGCCATTTCGATTGGCCTTTTCTTTTGGAAAAACACTTCATTGCCTTTTCCAACGGTAAACACTTTTATTGGCCACACGAGAGCTATGTCAATGGGAAAACTCAATCTGTACTTCAGTTGGTGTGGACCTGGGGACCTGGGGGCAAACGCAATTTTCGTGGGGAAAAATGCACGAAGAAAACGCTTGAAAGCCTGCATTTTCTTTGGTGTTTTTCTCGTGTCAAAACTTCAAGAAGTTGAAATCGCAGAAAAGTCCACGCTAATGCAACAGAATACAAAAAAAGAGTGGGGAAGAAAAAGGATTTCGAAGAGTAAAGTAAAAGGAGGTACAGCAAGTTAAACTCATGAACAGATTAGAAAAGGAAGGAAAATTGAAGGCCCACTAAAGCACATTTTGTGCTCCCTTTTAAGTTGAACATTCCATGGATAATAATTTTTCGCCATTGTTTGCCTTCTGCAGCACCATACGTGAGGGCATCATTCGCTGCATCCTGGCCACCGACATGGCCCGCCACAACGAGATCCTCACCCAATTCATGGAGATAACGCCCATCTTTGACTACAGCAATCGGGCCCACATCAATCTGGTAAGCGAGCACTCCACTGCCGCCCGGGCAGCCCCCTTGAGCCCCATGCTAATGCGTTGCAATCTTTTGCGGCTCAGCTGTGCATGATCCTCATTAAGGTGGCGGACATTTCGAATGAGGCACGGCCCATGGACGTGGCCGAGCCGTGGCTGGATCGACTGCTGCAGGAGTTCTTTGCACAGAGTGCGGCCGAAAAGTCGGAGGGATTGCCGGTGACGCCGTTTATGGATCCGGATAAGGTGAGCAAGCCGGGCTCCCAGGTGCGCTTCATTGGACTGGTGCTGCTGCCGCTCTTCGAGGCACTCGGCGAGCTGGTGCCAGAGCTCACGGAGCTCATCATCATACCAGTGCGCATTGCCCTGGAGTATTACAGGTGATTACCCCCCCCCACCGCCATTTCCTATAGGAAACTCCCTTGAACTCTGTGTGTCCCGTTCCTCAGACGCCTGAACGATGCCCAGACAAAGACGCGCAAATCCGTGGCCGACAGCAACACTTCGGACAGCAACAGCGGCACCATGGACTCCAACGCGGCCATGGTGAGCACCCCGGGTGCCTCCGGCGACAAGATGATCATGGACAAGGGCCAAGGCAACGCACAGGGCGCTGGCGCTGGCGGTGGCGGTGGCGGTGGCGGTGGCGGTGGCACTGGCAGCGTCTCCCCCCAAATGCCGCGCTCCGGCTCTGGTATAAGCGTTAAATCACGCCGCAGCATACCCTCGCAAAAGTCCGCCTCACGCACCTCCGTGGACGAGCCGGGGGGCATGGCAGCCGAGCTGCACGATCTGCCCGAGGGCAGCGAGAGCGGCGACTCGGAGACGGCCACCGAAGTGGATGTAAGTCATAAATTGTATTCCCCAAATGGCACTTCCATTCTCTCTCTCTCTCCATCTTTCTCTCTCTGTTCGTCGTCAAGGTTGCCGAGAAGACATCCAAGTTCAAGGTGGACACGGAAGGCAGCAGCAACCGTAGCAAGTCCTCGCACTCGAACTCACGCAAATCGTCGCGCGAGAAGCGCCCCTCGATGATCGGTGAGCTGTGCAGCAGCGGCGGGGGCCAGCGCATCCGCAACTCGTACGGCAACATCCACGGCTATCACAGCAATCGCTGCCACTTTGGCAACAATCGGGCCGTCAGCCTCGACCAGTACAGCAGCGGCCACAGCCGACGCCTGTCCGACGGCCTGCCCCAGGTGATCTCCGACAGCAACGTGTTCTACGGACGCCACCACCAACGCAGCGGCGGCCACGAGTCGGCTGCAGCAGGCGCAGCAGGAGCTGCTCAGCGTGGCCAAGAGGACACCAATGCCAACACGAGTGCTGCAGCTGGATCGGGAGCAGGATCAGGAGCCAGAGCTGGTAGCAACATCCAACTGAATGAACTGCTGGCCCGCACCGAGGCGAATTCGGATGGGGATGCGGATGGGGAGATCAGTGCCGCGGAGATGCTGCCTACGGCGAGTGTTCCCCTGCTGTCGGATGTGGCAGCGAGCGCCTCCTCCTCCAACGGCAACGTCTCTCCACCCAGTGGCCAGCAGCTGGAGCAGATCGGGCTGGCCAGCAACGGTGCACCGGCCAGTGCCAATGCCAATGCCAGTGCCAGCAGCCAGGCCGGAGTCGCCGCAGTGTCCGGTGCTATCGCAATCGGTGGCGGCGGTGGCGGCGGGGCCGGTGGCAGTGGCTCCGGTGGCTCCGGTTCGTGGAAGTCGCGGCTGCGCCAGTTCTCGGACTACTTCAGCTTCAGCTTTGACAAGGGCAACAAACGCTTTGGCAGCACCCGCAGCAGTCCCTGCCATGGCAGGGCCAACAACAATGGAGCCGAAGCCGGGCCCAGTGCCGGAGACAGCAACAGCGCCCTGGATGTGGCCGGAGGAGGAGGTGCAGGAGCTGGGACCGGGCCTGGAACTGGAACTGGCACTGGTCCTGGAATGAGTGGCGGTAAGCCGCAGTCCATTTGCTGCACCATTTCGAATAGCCAGCAGTCGAGCTCTGGCAGAGCTGGAGCCAGCAGTGGTGGCGGTACGATGCACCGTCATCGGGCCTACAGCCTGGACGTGCCCTGCAGCCGCGGCCCGGGCATGACACGCCACTCGTCCAACGACAGCAGCCGCCAGTCGTCGCGCCACGATGACAGCAACAACACGCTGCACAGTGCAGGGCGGCGGCGGCGGTGCTGCCGGCGAGGTGCCCGGCATACGCATCGCATCCGTGGACGGGGTCGTGGTCATTCCGCCCAGCCTCAGCGTAGAGCTGGAGCTGGGGCTCGCCAGCTTGGCCTCCTCCTCGGAGGTGGCGCCAAAGATTTGACAACAGGGGAGCACCTATGACTCCAGCACCGAGAAGACGGCCACCGACATCTCGCTGTCCCACCCGGGGCCCATCGTTGCCCTGCTTCCGCCGGAGGACATCGTTGGCGACGACGACGACGACGACGACGATGCAGATGCGGATGCGGAGCATCAGCTGCAGCCGGATGCCGCCAGCAACTGCGAGGTCTCCGCCATATCCATGACGGTATGGTCGGCCATCGGGCAGCGGCTCAATGCCCTCGTTTGCCATTGCTGCGAGCGCAAGTTGCCAGAGCCCGAAAATGTCTAAATGAACCTTGCCACGCCCCACGCCCCCGTGACAGCAGCTGATGAAGGACTAACTGCAACTGAATTGTTCCCCTGGCAGTCGACTGCTTTGGAGTTTTACCTATTAATTTTAGTCGATTGATTCATTTTGCTCCTCCTTTTTTTTTGTTTACCTTTTAAGTATTTTTTTATTTATGTACACCTACGCATACACCCACACACACACAACCAAACACACACACACACACAGAAATATATACTGCAAACGATATCTGATCCACATTATCCCTGGCATCATTCCAGTCATTATTCTACGCTCTGGTTAGCCGGAGATCCACCTATGGAACATGCCGAAATTCACGCTCAGATCGGCCCATAATGGGCCCATAGCCCATAGTAATTATTGAATATATATCTGCCTTATCCCTTTCCAAAACAAATGAATGAATCATCTCCCGTTCCAAGCCCGAGTGGCCCAAATGCAATCAATAATTCATATTTCACGCCCAACGTTTGGATGTAAATTTGATGGCCAATATTTTAGGCAGGTCCTGATCAGTTAATGTCATGTGTACCTGTTGCAAACTCATTGGCAAACCAACGTCCAGCTAGCCCCAAGGTCGCTGTTTCCATTGACTGATTTCCCTGCAGCTTTTTCGCACAAAATGCGTCAACGCGGAATCGGAATCGGAATCGAGTCTTTGGCGTGTCGCTCTATTTCCTGTGCACTTTGCCGGAGGGCCGAATCAGTCGTGAGTCCAGATGGTTGGTCTGGCCCTGGATCATGGGACTTTAGCTTGTGGCAGTGGCAGTGGCTGTGACTGTGGATAGTCGAGCGTGCGGCCTGTGGCCTTCAAGTGGCACCCGAGGCGCACTGATTGGCGTGGGTGTGGGAGCCACAGCCAGACCCAGTTCCAATCTCGTTTTCATGCGAAATTCACGATTAATTACGCAAAACAAATTTTCTACAATTGCGAATGCCGAATAGTGCAGTGGGGCTTGGCCTTCTCGCTCGGCGTTGCACTGTGGCCAGCCATGTGGTCCTTGGTGCCAGGACCCACGTCTGCCTAATTCCATTTGCCTGTGGTGCGCGCGTTTCGACTCTGCTGCTGCTTCTGCTGCTTTTTCATGCTTCCCTTCCTTTTATTTGGTTTTGTTTTTTTTTTTCGTTTGTGTGTGCCAGTTCTACTTTCCCGCCTCTGTATCCTATTCCCAGTGCTGCACTCTGCAGCACTGCATGGAAAGTTAACAAGTTGTTGGGGGCAGAATGGCCGCAGGAGCGACTTTCATGGCGATACAATTGGATTTTTACAGCTGCCGATTCTCATGCTGATTTGGATTCTGAATCTGATTCGGATTCGGATTCGGATTCTGTTGCAGTAGTCGTTGTTGACATTGATGTTGTTGATGATGTGCCGATGACAGCCCTCAATTAGTGGGTGGCTGGGATAGTGCATAGTAGATACATACTTGCAGTAGCAATGTGTGTGGATTACATTGACATTTTCACGATTTTGATTATTCACAGAAATTCGGTTGCAATTTTCAGCTGCTGCTGCTGCTGCTGCTGCGGGGCTGGAACTAGCAATGGCACTGGGGGCCCCACATAAATATCAATTTGCGAATCGTGTTTCGAGAGAGTCTGCTCGGAACGAATGAAACAAAACTCTATCCACATATCCAGCGAATGGGGGGCATTGGACCTGGGTACAGGAGCTGTCATTAAAACCAAAGTTAATTATTGTCTATGTAAATTTCTGTATGTAATTATGTTAAATATAGCACACACACACACACTAGCAGCACACACAGGGCAGGGCTGGGCAGGGCAGCGCCTATGGTCCCATGACCCGGCCAACCCCAAAAGAAATACGGGTTGCCTAATGGCTAGGACCAGACCATGGGCCCCCCCGGCCCAGTGCTGTGCGCCGCGTAAGGCATAATTACGTTTAATCTAATGAAAATCGTTAGCCTCAAGTTGCTATGGGGTTACGGTGATGTCGCAGTTGTGTGTAGTACTTTAGGTTGAACCCTTTTTTAGCCAATTTGATTAAAACGTTTTGAAACGATATAGTGGCCCCCTACCCACCTTATCATTGTGTGTGTAGTTATAACTTGTTGAATGTATATAGTAAGATACCACTTTGCCACAAATCTAAAACATTAGTGAATATAACCCAAAATCAACAATAGAGTTGTTGGCGTTCTATGGTAAACAATAAGTTGAATCCCAGAGAAGGCTAATGTGGCTGTCAGACCCAGTAAGAAAACCGCAAACTTTCTGACCCAACGAGCACCCTGGAAAGGTTTCCACCCACACAAGGGTTTTTCTCTAGGTGGCAACATACAAAATTTTTGTAAAATGGTGTTTTAGCGGCCACGCCTTTATAATTTAAAAAAAAATAGTAAACTAATTTCTAATAAAACTGTATAATTACCCACCACATAACTATTTTATCATTGCAAAAAAGGCGGTGCCCACCCATTTTTTTTTAAATTTCCTATTGATTAAATAACGTAAAGAAACTAATTTGAAAATCTGTTCGTTTCGGATGGCCAACAAAGTGGTTGTTGGGACCATAGGCAGCGCAGGCTTTTGTATGTGTTAAATAATAAAATGTATTGCCTACTTTGCAGGGCAATGCCAAATACTTTGATTCAATTATAAAGCCAGGCGACAGCAACGAGTTTTGAATAATCAAATTATGGCATATAGACGTAGATGATGACATGGCATATGAAAGATAAAACATAAATGTTAGGATTAGCCGAGCTGGCCCTTGGTACACATTTAACTCTAACAAATGTATGTATGTATGTATGTATGTATTTTTTTTGTTTTTTTTTGTGCTCATAATTAAGCTAATGAGACGCAGCTGAAAGTCCAAATTACAGTTTAGCCGAAGTTAAAAACTGAAATTAAAGCCTCTAAATAACACAAGCAAAAAACAGAAAAAATCCCCCAAATCAATGGATGTTTAATTGATGTTTACATTTAAGTGTCTAGCATATCGCAACCTTATCGAGCCGAACAAATTAACTACATACCTAATTGTGCATTGTAATTGCAGCCTCTGTGTAATTTCTCCCCTTTACAAAACAAACAAACAAAAATCATGTGTATGTGTGTGTGTGTTGAATTTTTGATGTTAATACTGATATTGATGTTGAATGTTGAATATTGAATATTGAATATTGACTCTCTGGGTGTCCTAAGTGTATAAGTCATTAGAAAATATATATGTATATCTACATACAGTACTTGGGTATTAGTATAGCCTGGATAGCACAGGTTTTTCGATTGGATTCGGGACAGTGGGTGGAACTCGCGGGTACCGATCGCGTAGTTAGACTTTTGATGGATGGCTGCTGCATGGCTGGCTAGTTGTTAGATTGATTAACTAATGAACGTATTGATGTGTGTACTATATGTATTTAAATGTATTAAGATCAATCCAGATCCCAGATGTATTCGTGTTTTGGATATGGTGTATGGATGTATGCACCTAAAGCAAGTTAAAGTCTAGCGAACTACACGTACTCCGTGCTCCAAAATGACATATGAATGCACATACATACATACATATGTATGTACATATAGTATGTATGTATGTATGTATGTATGTATGCAGCTAACACATCAAATTGATTTGTTGCCTTATACTATTGTACTACTGATTCTACTACTACTTACTACCTACTACCTACTACTACCTACTACCACTACCACTACACGACCACTGCTGCGTTGCAGCTGTGTGGGTGAGCTTTCCGATGCACGGCCGCCGCGTTGCGCCTTACCTGACATCAGACGTAAAACATGAGACATGAGACGTGTGCGGGTGCGTGTGCGTGTGAAAGCTCGCCGGGTCGCAGCATTTTATAATTATATATTTACTCGTATGTTTGTATGTATGTATATTGTTCATGGCCCCAAAACTGATTGCCCCCAACTTCCCTTGTTTGAATGCAAAAAAAAAAAGCAAAAAACATAAAGACTAAAACTTGAATTTAAACGAAAATCAACAAATGCAAAACAAAAACAAAAAGCAAAACACCTTTCCAACCAAAACCAAAACAACTAAACTATACATATAAATAAAGAAATATATATACATATATAAATATAAATATACATAAATATTTATCTTAAAGATACCACAACTACAAGTCATAAAAAAAAAACTCTAGATGTTTTACAAATGTATAAAAAAAAAACACAAACAAAAAAAACAAATAAAAGACAACTAAGCCCAAAGGAAAAAAAAAAAAAAAAAAATTTAAACCATTTTAAGCATAATTAAATTAGTTTAGAACTCTAAAAAAAAAAAACAGAAAACGAAACCAAAGAAACCAAAAAAACATGAAACATAAATAATTGCAGACCAAGCAAAACAAGCCGAGAGACGAATGGGCCCTGATTCGGCTGGCCGAACCACAATATGCCCCTGCAATGGATGGGTTCGATGGACTGATAGCTCAAAACTGAGATCACGATTCCTTTGCCCGGCCCCAACCGATCATTCCCATGGCAGGTATACAATGAAAATGTCGCAGCATAAAACTAAAAATTATAGCAATTTATAATATCGAATGAAACGCTGCTGTGTGATTGCCCATTGCAGGGGTTTATTTCCACATGATATTCGGTGTACAAGAATATATATATTTAGTGTACTTTTTGGCAGTCAATTAAACGCTTTTCCCCTTCCAAAAAAAAGTTGGTAACGAGAGATGGGGGCCCCCCTCCACCCATGGATCTGATCTGTGGATCTGCGGAGGGGCGGCATACTAAGTTCCAAAAGGCAAATGTTTGTGTGTACCTATGACATATTTGAATACTTAGACAAGGATATGAGCAATTTGGACCAACTTGACTAAAACACAGATACTTGTGGCATACTCGTATGTACACGCCGACACACCAGACAAACGGACACACAATCTTTGTAATAGTAGGAGAGTAGCACTACATATCGTCGTTAATTACCTCGTCGCCTAAAAGAGATCAGAGGGCAAAAGAACAGAAAGAACAGAAAACAAGACACCCCCTAAAAAGTGTTAGGCATCTACTATAATAACAGAAACAGAAACAGACAAGAAAATTAAGAAATATAAAGCTAAATAATAACGAAAGAAATGCAGGCCATGTTCCCAGCTCACATTCGCATTTAGGAAAACTTTATTTTTCATTGGTGCTCGCTCGACCATCACCTAAATCTGAATTCAATATTTCTTTGCTCGAATTTTTACATTTGAAGCCACACAAAATTCCAATTTAAAAGCTATTTCCGATTGTAGCAGGCTAAAGTGAAAATGTGAACAAATGCAGAGAGTCAGAGACCTTGTGGATAAGGCGGCTGATGATGATGATGATGATGGGTGCAAGGTGTATATAAATATATAGGGCATTATTCTAAAAGGCGACAACACACCCTAGCCGAATGCACCTGTGGATTGACCTGCATGCATGCATCTTATCACAGTTTATAATTTTCTACGTAACATACAAAGCAGCGAAAAAGCAAACAAGCAACTAAAAATCTAAGCAAAATATTCCAAAACGGTTTCCAACAATAGCAACACATTCCTAGACACACACACACACACACACCAAACACACACTCGAAGATTTCCTGTGAGCGGTGGGCATAATTAAAGCTAAATTTTGTCCAAATGCAACTTGGGCATATCCTCATCCCTAAGCAAAGCCAAACTCAAGGACACAGTCGAGTGGCTTCTCAACAAAAGTGCAAAAGAGAGAATGATAAATGTAAGAGAGAGAGAGAGAGAGAGTGCTAGAGCGAGAGAGACAGAGAGCATGGCCCTTTTCAAGAGAACCACCCTCCTGGCAGCATCAACCACCACCGATAATGGACCACACCCATTGCCTGATCCACACAACCGACAACCCCATAGCCCGTCCCTGATATACCAGCGCTCTCCTCCACACACGACAGGGAATGTCGCTCACTACTAAAAACTAAAACCTTAACTTGTACTAAGTCAACTAATATATGTACTAGTGACCCTCCTGACAAGAGCCTTTACTTCAAAACACACACAGAACAAAATACAAAGACTAACATTTTAATATACAAAACCAAAAACCAAAAACAAAAAACAAAATAAAGCTAAAAACTATAAAACAAACAGAAAAACAAACCAAAAACATAAAAAAAAAACTAAAACTTTAAATGAAATTTTAAGCAAGAAAACGGAAACAAAAACAAAAACAAAACTCCTGCAACAGCACTCTTCGGCAGGCCGAAGCTTAGATGCTCTCTCAACGCTCACATATGTACACACACACACACACACACACACAAACAGCAGCAGCGGTAAATAGAAAGTTATGTGTATTATAGATATACTCGCATGTATGCCTGATCTGCGTGCTCTTCTGAAAGAGAATCCAACATAGAAACACACACGTGGAACGCTTTGAAAAACCCAAGGCCTGGTGTACCCTTGCAAAATGGCATGATACTCGTATATGTACATGTACTATACTATATGAAGTGATCCGATATCCCGATATCACGTTAGAATGTCTACTTGGGTGTCCGTTCCGTGGGCAGGATTTTTGCAGGGGTACCACCCATGCCATATAGTACATTTTCAAGTTTTATGTCAATGAATCTGATCGATATATACATACAATACATATACTATATACATGTACCAAATAGAACTATATATATATATGTATACAAATAGCTATAATTTTTAAGAGAAAACAAAACCAAAATTCAGAGTGCAAGCACTCTCCACCCAAAGCCAGACAAACCGTGCAGAATCCGCCGTACTGGTTGCAACTCTGGTAGCACGAAAAAAGCAATGGGCGCCATGGAGGATCCACCCGAAAACAGAATTAAGAATGATACTTGAAGCATTCTACACAAGCCTATTGTGTTGTTTAAGCTGCAAACAAAAATGTTATAGAACAAAAAGAATAAGTGTAAATTAATGAAATATTCATACATGCAACCTGGCAACCTGGCAACCCTGTAACGAATGCACTTGGCAGCACAGCAATCAGCAATGCCCCTCCACTCCTCCCCCTCTAGGACCTATATATGATATTGATATATATATATGTATGTATTTCTGATCGAAAGGAATGAAATCGAAAAAGAAGAAACCAAAACCAAAAACCAAAGAGCAAAGAGCAAAGCAAACACCCAGAGTAAATTCTATGTATACAATGAAACAAATCCAAGCAAAATGGAATAAATAGTTATATACATATACCTATACCTATGCCTATACATTTACCTATACCTATACATATATACATGAATGTATAAAAACTCTTGGCACACCGAAATCGAGTAGTAAAGAAGGGGGGGAATGCAACGCCCCCTCGAAACTCAGCTATACAAAAAAAAAAAAAACAAAAATTAAAACACACACCCCAAGCCCCTCAATAACAAAAAAAAAAAAAACTAGATGGGCAAGACACAGTGAAAAACCAGCGAAAATAAAATACGAAAAGAAAAAAAATTAAAAATACATTCTTTGAAACTTTTCCCAAAATGCATTTAAATGGTACACAAATATTTAAATGAGATCAATGAAAGCAACTTGTATTTAACACTTAAGCTATGTCCAACTCAGATAATGGCGCTCACACAAACACACACACAGATATAGATACAGATACAAATACAAGAGACGGAGACAAGAGACAGATGCAGATGCAGATACTGGACACACAGCACACGAATATGAACGAACATACGAGACAAAAACCGCAAACGCATACGACGACAGAAACACTCTCTCTCTCACACACACACACAGAAACAGAAACACACACAAGTATTTTTGTGTAAACGTTTAGAAACAGAAAATATGAAACTAATGAATGAATATGAAATACATTGAATAAAATAATTTCCAAACTACTTATTAAAAAAAAAAAACATTTGAAGTTTACGATATAAATGAAAAAAAGGGAGCGAACCGAAGGAACGACAGAGCGACAGAAAGCAGATCATAGCAGAAGGAAGCAGCCATAGCCAAATATAGTTCCTGATTCGGTAAATCGGTAACAAATTTCATTGAAAATTGCATCAATGCCAGCAAAAGAAAGCATCATTTAACTTGTATGCTGCCAAAGGATAGTGCTATGAGGGGGAAATACGAACAAAAGCTGAAACTGTAGCATACTTTTTGGCTATTTGGCACTACGCCCCGTTGTAGCAGCAGGTGAGTGTAAGTCACTGAAACTAAAAGCTTCAAAAGCTGCAAACGGTGCAAATTGCTGCTATGGGAAAGCTGCTTAAAGCTGTGCAGCTTTCGAATTAGCAGCTTTATTCGGTTGGAAATAGTCGCTACATCGAGCAGCTTTGCCGAGCTCCAACACAACATGTTGCCTGGGGTTGCGGTTGGAATGCAGGCGGACAGGCAGGCAGGAATGCCAACAGTCAGGCGGCAGCCAGCCCCCAGCAGCCCCCCAGCCAGCAGCAGTTTCAAGTTTCAGTTGACTCTTTCACACGCAACGCGGCAGTCGGAGGCGACGCTTGACGACGCGGACCCAGCACGGACGCCGACTCAGACTCAGAGATACGGCTCTGCTTCTGCTCTACGTTCTACGCTCTACGCTCTACTCTACCACTGAATCTGCTTCCTCCCTTAACCCGACCGACCCTCCCCCCTCCACAGACACGTCTATCAATTCGGTTCGTTGTGTGCCAGCCAAGTTTACACTTTCCGACAAAGGCGAATGGCAAAAGCAATCAGCAAACACCAAGTAGTAAAAAGGACACAAGAAGAGGCGTCCCAAAATAAAGAAGAGAGAACCGTGGGCGAGGGCGAGACAGAGTCAAGGTGTGCTAAAATAAGGTGAGAGGCGAAGCCAAGCGTTCACGATCCTCACGAATCTCCAATCTCGAATCTCGTATATGTGTGCCACTATAATTGGGAGGGCTCTCTGGGCAAATATATGTATGCTGCTGCAACATTGAGGAACACACTTTGCTGCAGACCGCGTGTTGTTGCTGCTGCTGCTGCTACTTTCGCCGCGTTAAAGTCTTGCCACCCATTGCCACCCACAGATGTTCTAACGGCAGAGTGCTAAGTGTGTGCTATGTGTGTGTGTGTGTGAGCTGGGAAATTTGTGTTTTGTTTTGTTTTCCCATTTCTCTCTCACTCATCAGTCTCTCTCTCTGTCTCTCTCCCTGCATTTCTCTGTTCCTTACATTTTTTTTTCGTAGTATTTTTAGTGCTTGCGTGCAACATTTTTGTTGGTGTCAAAAGTTAAACAAATTTTACGTGAAATGTAAGTAAAATCAAAAAGAGAAACCTTGAAATGTCCCAAAAAGAAAAGCAGCCAAAAAACAACAACAACAACAACAACAAAAATGTGAGAATAGCAACCAAAAAGGAAATGTAAAGGGAAAATCAATGCGCGTATGCGTGCGAGTGTGTTTGTGTGTGTGTCTCGTCCTGTAGTGTGTGTGTGTGTGTGTGTGGCAAAGAAAATCCATAAAGCGTGCTGCGGCGTGAAGTGAAACTCGAAGTTGTCGGCAGGCTGCCGCTGCCGCTGCCACTGCCACCCCTACGGCCCATCCACACGCCACCACCTTCTCGAGGCTTTTGCGGAAAATGCCATTGTGTGCAACATTTCTCCATTTTTTTTTTTGGCAGCCGCAATTCCCGCAAAAGCATCATCTTAGCAGCAGCAGCAGAACCAAACGGAATGGAGAGAAGCAAACGGTAAACAATGAACCCGTTTAACAGCTGATCCGCTTTCGGACTGCAAGCCAGAACGAGACAAACACACCGACACACCCACGCACCCACACACCCACACACACATACAGAGAATAGGTGGCCTGCTTGCCTGCCTGCCAAAAACTATCTGTCGACACGAGCAGCCACGTTGCACAGTGGCACAAAATGTGCAAACAATAATAAAGAAATGGTGGTGGGGGTGGGGAATACCCAGTTAGCAGTCAGCAAGAAGCATTCCATTAATTACGTTAGCCACACTAATCGTTTCCCATAATCACACACAGTTACAACACACAAGAAGCAGTGCAGGAAGCAGTATTTGCTTCAGCCGAAAAGCAGTGTGCAGCTCCCACACGCCCGCCAAGTTCAAAATCAACGCCTGACAATGACAGCTGCAGCGACGTGGCGGCGCCCACTAGGCCAAGCAGAGACTGAGGCAGAGGCCGTACCAGCTGCAGCAGCAGCAGCAGCAGCATCACGTGCAGCAGCGATTCCAATCAAAACAACAAGAGCAACAAGGATAGCGCCAACAGCAGCAACAAGAGGGCGAAGGAGCACAGCAGCAACAACAACACCAACAACAACAACAACAACAATCAATGGGCTCGACACGACAAGGGGACGTCGTCGTCGTCAGCGAGTAGGCTGCACCCAATGGACGGAGACGGGCGCCAGAGCGGGTATGGGCATCAGCCTGGAAGAGCGAACGATGCCAACGATGACGTCGCTGTGGCTGCTGCTGCCATCGAATGCGACAGCCTGGCTGCTCTTGGCCCTGCTCTGCCTGCTCGGCTGCCTCTGCCCCTTCACAGGTAATTACTGCTCTTGCTTCCCCATACTCGTATATATTTATGTATATTTGATGTACCCTATAGCAGGGGATGGGGTGCTGCCATAGCTGCCATCGGGGCACAAGTTTTTGTCAAGATAATTTGACTTTTAATTTTAGTTATTTCAAGTTTAAGTTATTTAAATTGTGTGCTATGGCTGAGACACATTATATAGTATCAACATATAGTAAGATGAGCTGCATCACTTGAACGAGGGTATTAAATACTTCGTGGCCCCTTCTCCGCGAACATACCATTTCCTTGTGACTTTTATGCCTTTCCCACACAGTCTCGACTGGGTTCGATCATGGTGTGTGTGTGCTGGTGTGGAGGGGGAGGGCTATAATGAGCATCGAAGGAAAAATAAAAGAACTCAATTTGCAAACATTTCTTTTCCCCACACACACTTAACTGTTTGTGTGTGTGTGTGTGTGTCGCTCATTTGCATGCCCCTGTTCTCTGGTTACCTTTTTTTTTCTGTCACAACCTTAATCGAATCCAATCGCATGCTGGAACCCAAGCGGGGTGGGGGGGCAACAACATTTTTTTTTTTTTTGTTCTGGCTGATTATCGCCAGAAATTACATTCACGTCGCCCGTCACACGCATTAGAAGGCGAACAATGGCCGACGATTCTTGAAGCAAAGAATATTTCCCGCACTTTATTTTGCTCTCCTGCTTCCGTCACACATTTGGCAGGCAGGCAGGCAGCCTGTCGGCGACTGTTATTTTTTGCTTTGCTACTTGGGTTGGGGTGGCGGTGGTGGCGGGGGCGGGGGCAATCGGCAGTGAGTTGGCAATAAAAATTATTACAGTAAATCCTCCACTCTACTGGCAAGGTGAAGGACACACTGGCTGTGAGCAGGCGTAAAGCAAGTGCCATTTTTGTTTGCACTTTGCACTTTCTGATTTCCGATTTCTGATAATTAATGTGAAGATCTTTGAGGGCCAAAAACATTTCTCAGTGCTCATAGATAAATCGATTCAAATCGCTTTTATCTAGCTAGTTGGAGAGTCTTCACTGTGGCCGAGTACTCAATCAAATTTGATGATCCTGTTTTCCTTTTTTTTTTTATGTGCCAGCCAGTGCCGACTCATGGGCAACTGGCGGAATGAGCAAACCTGTGCAGAAGGCTGCTCGGCTGCTTACCGAGTGTCAAAGGGCTAAGGTGAAATCTGGCGGAGTGAGAGCTGTATGGTGTGGTGTGGTGTGGTTGGGTGTGGTGTTTGAGCTTGCTCGTTAGACATTCGATATTGTATACAGCCTTGACTTTGCACATGCAATGCAGGGCAACTCTCTGACAGCCCTTAGCGTGCTTGAATATACCAAATTTGAGAACACATTTTGAATGTCGCAACCAGCCAGAGGGAGGGGCATGCTGTGCTCCCCTGTAAGATTTACAGATTGCAGAATGTGCCTTCATCTGTGGAGGTGCCTCCGGCTAATTAATTACACTCTGGGTCCGTGGGTTAATTCAGCGCTAAGCGCAGGCTTACATAAAGTGGTCTCAGGCCGCTGTCACTGTCACTGTCCGGCGATCGATCGATTGGATTCGTACTAATTACACGTACAATGGGTCGACTCTGGTCAGGTGGTGGCTCTCTTCCTCCGTGCTGAGTGGGGGGGGCTGGGTGCTGCTCTTGGGTTTGTGCAATCAATCGACCGTTGAGTGTGCTGATAGGCTTCAGCCGTTGAGTGTGTGTGTCCCTGACCGGGGGGGTTGATTATGCTCAACGATGCAATCGGCTGGGCAATCAAATCATTCACTGTCTAATCCCAGGCCTGCATCAGGGCCGCAAAATCTGTGATGCTCAAAACATGCCGCCGCTTAAGGCCCAACCGACGACACGTGCGCACAGACAGTGACAATGTGTGGCAAGGGTAGACATTGAAGGCAAAGACAAAGACGGAGACGGAGACAAAGACCGTGCTAATTACGTTGCACCACCACCAGCACCCAGCCCCACCACATGCCACTCATAATGGTTTTATAATCTTTGGTTCCGTTAACAGCTTTCCAAAAGCCATGGCCAAAACAAAAGTCAACGAACACTTCCTTCTTTCGCTGCTGCTGCTGCTGCTGCTACTCTCACAAGCAACAAAAAAATATATGTATAAAAACACTCAGTCAGTCACACACAGACAGACAGACAGACAGAAAGAAAGACAGAAAGAATGTCTCGTTAGTGAGGGACAGACAGCGAACAGTGGGAATCGTTTCAGCAGCCACTCTTAATTGCATTCATTAATTCTATTTAGAAATTTCTAAGAAAAAGCTGTTCTCTTTTACTGTACATGTATCACAGGACCTGAAAGTGATGTCTCTCTTTTTGAGACTAACCTGCCACTCAGTAATGGTTAGTGTTTTGATTTTCATGGGCGTAGCCCAAGCCGAGATCGCGGCTTCGAAGCATTTCTGCCGCCTCTTAGACGATAAATTTCAGTGGCATCGTTTTTGTAAAGTTTCACGGATCCTGGAAAGGCTGAAAGATCCACGGCGTGTCCACCTCTGATCTACAATATACTCAAAGTATTGCCATACATTTTTGGGAGGGGGGAAGGGTTGACTTGTGCCACTGTGCGTCGCTCACGTGTGTACGGTGTGCCCCGGAAACCACAGAAGCAGGCAACTACAGTGAAGGAGGCTACGGCAAAAACCTGATGGCTGCACTCAGTCAACGATGTCGCCATGACCCTGCCACTTGGCCACCACACACACCCCCTTCCCTTGCTGGGCCACAACTGCCACCCAGCGCCTGGCCACAATTGTCAGCATTTATGGACGCTTGCGAGGGACCAGCCAGCAAGCGAGGGCTTGCCAACCAACCAGCAATGGCATTTGATTTAATTTTCTTGTTGTTGCCAGCATTGAAGTGGCGCTGCAACTCGACGGCTGACTGCAAATGAAATTGAAAATTCTTCAAGAATACTTCTCGGACAGTGCGGAAAAGTTGCCCAGTTGCATTGCCAGTTGAATTTGAGTGTCAAAAAGGTAAAACTGATTCCACATAGGAGCAGGGCAAATGCTCTTTCAAAGTCCTTGACAAACATCTTCGGCGCTATCGAATCGAATGGCAGGCAAAACAAATTGCATTGAATATTGTAGCTACATTTTATCTGCAATTTATCTGCAATTGAATCCATCTGCAATCATAAAATGAAATCAATCGATCGATCAATATCGAAAAATCAAAATTAAATTGTTTTATTTGCGCATCAAAATGGCATAGCTACGGCAATTAAGTGGCACTACAATGTAAATGCTCGTCAATGTGGCAGGGGAGACAAACCCCAAATTCCAAATCACTAATCGAATCACTTTGCTTGTGTCAACATTCAGTGAGTGGAAAATGCAGCTTTAATTGGATCGAATGGACTCGGGTCGGACTCCACGTTGGACAAGCGAAATTAATACACATGCAAAATTGCAGCTGCGGTTGGGTTTCGGGGGGGGGGGTCGTTTGGCATTGATTTTAAGCGAAAATAGCACAAAGGACACTCCCAATTTGGACGCATTTCGGATGAATCCCTGTACCGTCCCCCAACACAAAAACTGCTGCCACTCGAGCAGGATGTTGGGATGTTGGGCATGAGGCAGGGGTGCATAGGGGGTTTGCACCAGTGCTGCTTGTAAATGTCACAACAAAAGCTATTTATAGGTAAGCCGCGGCAGCCCTGCCACCAGACCCCCCAGTTCAAGACCACACTGAAACCACACTGAAATGAAAATTCTCTAAGATCGGGATCAGGATAATAATCCATACCCCAAGTAGTTGTTCAAGTTCTTGCTTAAAGTTTATTGCTTAAATCGAAATGGGGCTTCTTTAGTTACATATTCCATTAAAAAAGAACCAGGTCCGGACAGCCAAATAATTTCTGAACGTAAATCAATATATAAATAAATAAAATAAATTACGGTCCATCGAGGGTAGGTTTTTTCGCGCTTTTGGGACCAAACATTTACCTAGATCTGTTCGTATACTTTACTTTCAAGCATTCAGATTGCAGTCTGTGCTTTTTTTGAAGTGTTCGTGCAGTCAAGTGATTTGCTGGCATTATTTGTAATGGCTATGACCTTTGGCTTTCGCACAGTGTAGCTGCGAGCAGTGGCATCGGGCCGCATGGTGGGTGCTTGGGTCAGGTGCTGGAAGTGAAAAAGCCAAGCATTAAAAAGTAATAAACATAATTGTGAAATAATGCTGCATGCCGCAGATTTAGCTTCGGCTTGGGCTCGGGCTCGGACTTGGGCTTGCTGCTCCTCACTGGCTGTGCCACTGCCACTGAAATGCACTTTGCGAGAGCACAAAAGAACGTACGAAGGTTAGAGTGGGTGGGTGGGTGAGTTGGGTGAGTTGGGTTGTTGGTAGGGGCTGGCGTATCGTACTAAACTTTGACCCAGGACACAGCTAAATTGTTTGGGCGACAGCTGGCGCGCACAAAAGTCAAGAGTGGCGCTGGCTTTTAATTATTCAAGCAGCCTCTTACGCGAGCAAATTCCAAGCGATGCTTTTACTGTCGCTAAATGTTCCCAGGCATTCCTTGCGCTAACATTTCAGGCATTCAGGCTGAGCCTGAGGCTGAGACTGTTCCGGAACACTTGCCTGAAATCATATAAAAATGCACCAAAAAAAACAAGAAAAACTTACATGAAATTTCCCTTTTTCTCAACGATAGATGAAATATTTTATAGGATTTTTTTTGGTTCCATAATATTCCAAATATTCAAAGGATTTTGTTGTATCAAAAAAAAAGTATCGCATTGGTGTAGGAGCAGCTAAAGCGATCTTGCAGGGATGGCTGGATTGGGTGGTCCATGACGACGGGCCAAGCACGTGCACGTGCGAAGGCTGGTCGCAATGGCGAAACGTGTGGCAGCAAGAGAGGTGGTGGTGGTGGTGGTGGGGAGGGGTGAAGAGGAGGCAGTTGCAACTGCAACGAGGCGCAAGGCAAACAAACAAATAAAGTGAACAAGCCACTGCAGCAGCAACCGCCCGAATGTCGCCTCGGCCTAGCAGCACAGCACAGCACTCACTCCCCTCCCCTCCACCGACCATCCGCCATCCTTTACCACATTTGGCACAAAAGCGGAAAAGCAAAAAAAAAAAAAGCAGAAGAAAGAGAAGTAGAAGCAGGAGAAATAGTGAAAGGAAAAAGTTTACTGCAGTTTGCCGCTGACTCGCACGCGACCCTTTTCAAGTGCGCTCCGTGCGCCCCCCCGTACGCCACAAAGACGCCTATGTATGGCTCCGTGTCTCCGTATTCCCCGCCCGCCGTATGTGTGTGTGTTTGTTTGTTCGTTCGAACTCCAACATAAGATGCAACCGCAACCGTTTCGTTTTATGTTGCAGAGCTTTTAAAGCTTCATTCAAAAGTTTCCTGCAACGAACCAAAGCAACACACACACACACATACATTCTCGGTGCCCTGTATGTGCCCCTTGACCCATTCATCACCCAACGCCATCACCAGCCTGAAAGCCATGCCCCCCATTCCGCCATGCCCCAAACCCCTGGCAGATCTGCTGCTTGTCTGGCTCACTCATCGTGTGTTGTCCGTCCAGCTGGGGCTTTCTGGCCTGGCCTGGCCGACTCTGTCATTCTGTCTGTCTGCTTGTTCCTTAGTCCTTGCCCCAGGACCAGTTAAAGTGTCCGGAACTGGCATTAGACATACGAGAAGTATACAAGTCACTTGCTCATTTATGTACGGCTATATATGTACTCGAACTCGTACTCGTATTGCATGTACCCCTCCCTCCCCTCTACACCCGCCCACCCCACCATAAATAATTCACAAGGTTTAAAGGTCTCGACTGCTGCACTGAAAACCCATCAGGCTTGGGACTTGGTGCGCGGGGGGGGGAAACATATTAAAAGCCTCCCCACATCGATCTCTCGAATCTCCCAACAAATTCAAGTCCCAGAGAAATTTAAAGACTTTTGCAATAAATTATTAATGCATTTGTTCAGTTTTGTCCCCTGGTAGTTTCCAGTCATTTTTTGGGTGTCTGCGTTGCAATTTAAATGTTGGAATAATACCCATAAAAAATTCAACCTGAACTGAGTGGCCAAAGGCTTTCATCGTAGGCCCAATGCAGTGCTGGGGGGGGGGCAGATTCATTCATTAAGCCCAAGCAGAGACCAATAATTATTAGTTCAGTCTGTGTATATGCTGCCTTGAGTTATGGAACCCGCCAGTGGCGCTGAAACATACAATAGAATAATCACTAATACGCCCCGTACGCCTAGCTAAAAACTGCGCAAAACACGTATTATCTGGCTGATCGGATTGGATCGGATCGGAGCTGCTGAACCACGAGCCATTCAAATTGATAGCCCCTGAACTGAGGGTGATCAGCCGTCAGCCAGGGGCCGGACTAGAGCCGGATTAAAGTGGAGCATTGGCAATCCGATCATTTAGCATTAGAAAATTGAACAATCTTCCACTACTATCACTAGGCATTCTATTTAATCCACACTAATTATGTATTGTATATACTTCTGCCCCATAGATGCCTTGGAGGAGGACTGTGTTGACTTTCAGGGCAACAAGGTCAACCATGGCATGCTGTATGTGCCCGGGCCCGGTGTGTGCAGCCTGTGCGTCTGCTATCACTCCGAACCACTCTGGTGCAAGGCCATCTACTGTGATCCGCCCTACGTAAGTGCCCCCCCCCCCCATACTCCACTACCCCCCTGGTGTCTCTGATTTTCCATATTCTTTTTGTATAGTTTTGCAAAAACTTTCGAGTGGGTGAACGTTGCTGCGAATTCGAGTGCCTCGATCCGCCTGGCGAGGATAAACTCTATCAGGTCTGTATTATAATATATATAACATAATTTATATATATATATATATATTTATTTATTCGTTTGATTTACAGGAGCGCATGCGAAAACGTGCTGAAATATTGGCTGGCAACAGCACCGCCACGAACGTGAGGCTGGCTCCGCTGGCCATGTCCTCCATAATGCTCGGGTTCCTTGGCAACAACGTCCTCAACTTATAACTTGAAGACCAACAGCCAGCGGGCAGCAGTAGTGGCAGCATCAGTTAGAGATTCTAGCTAAATCAATTTTAGGAAAAAAAAACAAAACAAAACAAAACAAACTCCCCAAAAGAATGAATTTCAAATCAGATAGCCCCACATTTTTGTTGCTCCTAAAAAAACAAAAAAAAAAACAAAACAAAACTCGTAGAACTCTCCAGACAAAACTTATTACAATGTAATAGACAAAACCAAACAAATTATAGAGATATGCATACATACATATGTGCTATAAATATGTATGGTATGTATGTATCCTCATAGATGCAGAGAAAGTGCCGTCGAGACGTAGGTTTTCAACTTATATGCCCCAGACTTATATGGGTACAATAATAATAGTTTCCGGATGCACGCCGAGAACCAAAACTCAAAAACCCCAAAAACCACAACCCCCTCAAAGCCCTCAAAGCCCTTCTTTCATCAAGCAATTGCAGTGTGATCCGCGAATCGATAGTTAGCAAACTCAAGAGCAAAAATTTCTAACATATAACATAGACATTTACTTATTTACACAAAGGAAGGATGGACAACACCAAGAAACCAGAACAAACTCATCAAGCGAACGAATAAGACAGTCTCTAGCATGTAAGATCCAAAAAAAAAAAAAATATACAAAACAGAAAAAATACAAAATACACATACATATGTGTATATGCATGTATGTATACCGAGTGGGATATGGTTATGTATCGTAAGCATATATTATGTATTGAGCACACGAGCATATAGCTCTGTGTAGCGGCAACGTTGTTGATTAGTGTTTAGAGCCAACTAAATGGAAAAAGGAATCATTGGATGCGAGAAGATCCGTTTGTTTTTTTTTCTTTTTTTTTTTTATAACAAATTTGTAATCCTCACACACACACACAAACACACACACACAAACACTTGCGCTTAGAAAACGTTTTTTCATCTTAAAGCAAAATTACAATACTTAGATATACATACAAAAACATACATACATATACATACAAACAAGAGATTTTAGTGGGTAATCCAAATAGGAATATCTTATGGCGCGAATTGGATAAAGGAATGGCAATCTCTAGATGATTTTTTCCTACTCAAATTGTAGTAAATAACACATATCTTGGCAACATTTTCTTTCCAAATATATTAAACAAAAATTAAAAAACAAAAAAAAAAAACAAAACAAAAATCAAACGACACCAACACCAACACACGAACATGAACCACGTCCGAGATCGGCGTATGAATGAATCATTATATTGCATTGGTGCTAATTTTATCATAGGCTAAAGACACACAAACACAGAGACAGATACAGACCGCAGCACATTACACCAAACAAGGCACCACGTCACACTTGAATCACAAATTGAATCAAATTCTACAATATATACACGTACATATATCAAGTAGGTAATAGGAGAACGGGAATAAATAGTTAGTAGGTATGAATACGAATACGAAAACGAATACATGCGTTGTGTTTAAGAAAAATTGCCCAAGGTAAAGAAAAGCTGTTCAGCGTCCAATAATAAATCGATAAACACTAAATTTACAATATATTTATCTTTTATGCTCCCCCGCCCCCCCATTCAGTGGTTATTTCGTTCTAATCAATCAAGTGCATAATCAGCAGATGGCAAAGCTTAATAGATAAGTCCCTTCCACTTGCCCACTTTCAGATCGAATAGATTTCGTTTAACTCGAACAAACTTAGGCTAAAGACAGACAGACTTTCTCCAAGCCCTCTCCGTCTCTTTCAATAAATATAAATATATATGTAATATGTATAGTGGCTATTCGTACACATAGGTAACATTACCTACTATATACATATATAAATAGTTAGTGTTTAAATTTTAGAGATATAGCAGGACCAGCAAACAAAACCCTTAATCATCAGCAAAAATAAATCGAATCGAATCGAATCGAAGCGATAATCATAAAGTACATGCATACATATATGTACATGTATGTATGTAATGCCCTATTAGAAATCGGGACATCAATACCATTGAGTTAGTGGGAAGGCATAGCGCCCGACACGGGAACGTAACAGATGGAAAATATAAAAAACAAACAAACAAACAAACAAAAATAATGAGGGAGGAGTACGGCTGTGACATTTTGTTTGCTTTCAAATGCATAAAACACAACTGTAAATAAAAATACAAATACAAATACCAATAATAATGATATGTACTTGTGTATGTATGATCGTGAATATATAGAGGATATGTGAGGAAGGTAATGGTAAAACTATTTGAAGAGGCTTTCAAATTAAGCAGAGATTAGTGAAGAGGGGCAAAAGGGAAACGAATAATTAACTAATCAACTGAATGTACAATTCAATAATGCCACAACATCTGACCAATTATGCAAGCGTATATACTGAATATATACTGATATATACACCATGACAACACATTTACATATAAAAAAAATATACAAAAAACTGATCCATACCAGATATATATACATACATCAATCCAAGTATTTTCTAAGACAAATGACAAATTTTAATTACGAATAAAAAATCAGAATGAGAACAGGAACGAGAAAAAGAACGAAAACGAGAACGGTAGCAGGAGGCGAGCAAATTTGAAAGGCGCTTAACAAATTTTAACATAGACTCCAATAATTAAAAAATGCAAATTGGCTTTAATTAACAATTAACAAAACTAATAAATAACTAACGAATCACACCAGAAATAATAAGTATCTAATGAGAATATCTAGAAGACATACATACATATTGATTACTATTTTTATGTTAGTTTGTTTTTTTTTTTTTTTGTTATTATTAATTTTAGATAGCAGTTGTGAAACAACGGATGAGAAAGAAAGTCAGAGATCATCAGCTTAAGGAAATTCCTTTTTAATTTTTTACAACTAAAGAGATATACACTATAGCAGAATATAATTACAAACATTCAGAGATGTGATCTATTGGGAGTGAAGAGTTCTGTCTGTATAGTTTGCATGTACCCCCTCTGAATACCCAAATCTCTTCAAGGCAGAGAGTGAGAATTACAGACTTTCTTGGTACGCAAGAAATGTTCCTTTTAGGACATTTACGAGTAGATGGAAAATATCAATGGGATTTAGATATCCAGCTGCCCCAGGGCTATTCATTATTATTCAAATATATTAATATAAAACAGGAAATACTTTCAATTTCGTAATCCTTACCAAGACAAAACCAAAAACCTTAAATCCAAATCGATAACAAAAAAAAGAACAAAAACAAACAAAAACTACCAAGCTTGAAAATAAAAACAAAACAAAAACTTTTTAAAGTAATCTAAATCAAAGTTCTAACTGGAGATTATAAAGCTAAATCTTTCAAATAATAATAATACCAATCACCAAAGTTTATGGATTATTTAGCAGAGCAGATCAGGTGGAAATTCCAGAATCATGTATGCATATAAAGTACTTTAAAGATATTTCCAAAATACAAGAAAAATTTTAACAAAAATAAACAAATATTTTCACAATAGCTTAAACAATCATTGTGTCCGATTATTTGTGGGTGTGTGGGCGGGGATAGGCTTGCAATCTCGATCTAAAATCTATCTTACGGCTATCCTATGACCGAATAAAAATGTTTGATATTCTAAATGGAATTCTTGTTGTACTTGCGGCTACTCCAGGAAGCCCACCACCATCTTGAGGACAGCTGCGATCATCGTCATATTGGGAAGCCTTCACAAATTCCTCCATAGCTTAATTGATAAAAAGGCTCGCCCCTGCAAAAATTCAACGTGAATAGAAGAATTCCACACTTGCATACAATGTTGGCTGGCTTTTCCTCGGCGTTCTAAGCTCATTTCTTCCATTCATCCCATGTGTATGTATGTCAATGCTCTAACCAACATAATTTTACAATCAGGATACAGCCGCCTGCATCAGTGCCCACAAATTCTGGACAACATACGGCGGATCTTTTGCATGCGTGGGAGGTTGAGTGTGGGCTTTCCTTCTGTCAGCACCGTTTTTTGGTACAGTTTTGCTCGTCGCAGTGGCAAATGTACTTCAAGGAACAGCAAAAGGAACAGAAAGAAACCATGCGTTATTTCTTTGTTCTGTAGTTCACTCATATTTTCTGGATCTGCAGCTCAAAAACTTTGGATAGCCTTGCACATTTGTCAATCCGATCATCTGCAGTATTGCCAGAATTTTATTTAAGAAAATTCTCGTAGACAGGCCCATCCCCACATACTATGCAACTCATGAAATATCTTTGAAACACTTTACAGTGATATTTTATATTTTGTTTTAGCAAATAGCACAAAAAAAAAAGGTTTTTAGGAATTTTGTTGTAAAAAAAAAGAGACTAATTACGCATTAAAATAAATAAATCTAATCATATATTCATTTGCGTGTGTGTACTGGAACCTTGGGTACATTGTGTAAATACTAGTTCTAGAGGCTGTACAGAGCGTGAATGAGTGTTAAAGTGAGTAGCTAAACGATTCAATTGTTTAAACTTTAAACATATGCAATGTGGTGTAATGTACAGCTCGGTGTCAGCGAAATGGATGACTTAATAGCTGGTGGGCTTAACGCTAGATTTAAATAGTTAAATTCTATGCATATGCATATGCAGTATGCAGCTAATTTTAGTTCAGGTGATCGATCTCCTATGCTGTGTGTCGCTGTTGAATGATTTACAATTTCAAATAAATAGATGTAAGCCTAGCAGTTTAATCTGCGTATTTCTAGCGCCTATCTGTACAATGATATATGATATATATATATGTCGGTATATATGTAATAGTATGATTTGAAGTAAGTGTAGCCAAAGATCTCCTAAATCTCTGCAAATCTGTACAATTGATGAAGGACGTGGCCTGTCCTGGTGCTAAGTCTATGCTCTATAATATACAGGTGACGACGGCCCTGCGTTGCTTCTTTGCTGCTGTTGGCGGAGAACCTGGTTGGACCGAGTATATAGCTGCTTCTCCGCCTCTGCCTCGGCCTCCTCCACTTCCACGTCCACCGGCGGAGACGCGTCTTCACATTGCAGCCCAGTTCCCTCTGGCAATTCCCTCTGTTGCCTCGATCCGTACGTAAGCCGGAGACGGAGAAGCGAGAATGGTGGCGGAGATGTCGAGTAGGAGGGCATGGGAATGTCCTCGTCATCTGCATCGGCAATGGCATCGGCTGGAACATCAGGCTGGTATTATTGAGCTCCTCCCGCGGCCGTTGCCTCCTTGGCCTCGCCAGAGCCCGGCGCCGGGACCACCTCCTTCATGGACTCCACCTTGGCCACAATCTTGAGGGCGGGGCCCAGCTTCATCCCCATGGCATTCACCAGGTGATTCTCCTTGAGCAGCAGCAGCGCCTGGCCGTCGATCTCCTGCTGGACAAAGTCGTCCACATAGTCCTGGCAGCCTGGCAGGTTCCGTATGAAGTCAGCCACCTCGTCCACGCTCCAGTTGCAGATGGGCGAACGCTCGCCCGCTGCGCTCGAGGAGGATGCTGCTGCTGGTACTGGTGGCTGGGGCGCCACCGCTGCAGCTGGTGGTGTGGCACCCGGAGACGGAGTCGCAGGCAGCGCCACGGAAGCGGGAACTGCGAGTGCGACTGCAACTAGGGGAGGCACTGGAACGGGGGTGCCTGCCATGACTGGCAGGACAGGAAGGGACACCAGTGGCACCTCCGTGTTGCTTGACAATGGCACAAGGGACATCGGTTCGGGCTGCAGCGCCTGCAGTGCGTCCGTCTGCATCTGCATCTTCTCCTCGGCCATGGCCTCGTCCAGTTTGTCCACCAGCGCCATGGCATCCACTCCCACAATTCCTCCAATTTCCATTTCCATTCCCATTCCATTGCTCTCTCCTACTCCTACTCCTACTCCCCCTCCCACTCCGCCTCCAGGTGCAGCCGCAATGCCTGCGACGCCAGTCTTCGCCTGCCTGGCGCAGCCTGGGGAGCAGAAGCGCTTCCGCTTGAGCTTCGCCTTGTGCTCCAGCTTGCCGCACTGCTCGCAGGCCACCATGTCCGTCGCACTGCCACTGCCACTGCCTGCTGTTGGGGATGGGGTTTTGGTTGTGGCTGTGGCTGGCGTTGCGGTGGCTATGCCGCATGGCTTCGCCTCCTCCTGCATGGCAGCCTTTTTCTCTGTGGGAACGAGAGCAGAACAGGGATTAGTATCGGGAAGGAAGGAAGAAAGGGGGGGGGAAAAACTCACTTGGCGGCTCGTCGCTCGTGTCCTTGTCAGCATAGCGCTGCCTCGTAACAGGGAAGGGCTCGTTGGCCTCTTGGATGATGAATCCGTCGATGACATGGGTCAGCACATTGGGCTTGATCATGGCCTTCGGCAGATCCTTCCCTCCCGCGTTGCTGCTGCCATTGCTGATGCTCGTTGTCGTTGTAGTTGTAGTTGTGGGTGTAGTCGTCGCAGTGCTGCTGCTGCTGGTCGTCGTGGTGGTGGTCACAGTGGTGCTCCCTGCCCTGGCCAGGGTGGCTATCCCAATCCCAATCCCGTTGCTGACTGTCGTCGTGGTCGGCGTTGAAGGTGCGCTGCTGCTGCTGATGCTGGTGGCAGTAGCCGCTCCGCCCTTGCCCTCATCCTTTCCGCTGTGGGTGGTTGTGCAGGAGCTAGTGGTGCTGCTGCTGGTGGTGCTGCAGCTACTCGTGGGCAGCACCACATTGCTCTGCCTTGTGGTGGGCGTGCTGGTGGTGGCCTTCGTGGGCGTGGTGGTGGTGCTGCTGCTGCTATGAGACGCCTCCGGGGCCTCTCCATTCACCCTGGAGGAGTCACTCGTGGAGCTACTTGCCTCCGCGGTGGCACTGGCACTGGCACTGGCGTTTGCAGCGGATCTGGGGGTGGTGTTGACGGACGATGGCTGGTGATCCTGGCTAGTGGCGCTGCTGTTTAGAGGGGACCCAATGGGCACCAGGGTGGCGGTGGGGGTGGACATCTTCAGCGGCGTCTCCTTGGTGGGTGTCGCCGGATGACTACCTCCACTGGCAGCGCTGAACGCGACCAGCGTTGCAGGAGAGGACATCACTCCGCTGCTGGTGACAGGTCCAACAGTCGCGTTCATCATGGATGTCATGGCCATGATGGGGTTCGTGGCGGGTGAGGGCGATGCAGCCGCCAGAGCGGGTGGTCCCTGCTGTTGTTGTTGTTGTTGATGCTGCTGCTGCTGTTGCTGCTGCTGCTGTGTGGCCGCTGCAATGCTGGCGGAGATTAACTGATGTTGCTGTTGCTGTTGTTGCTGCTGCTGTTGTTGCTGCTGCTGCTGCTGCTGTTGGTGTTGCTGCTGCTGGAGCTGGGCTTGGTGGATGCTGGCTGCCATCGTGCTGCTGGTGACCAGGGGACCCGTTGTGTGGTTACTTATTGTCACTACGCTGCTGGTGGGCAGAGAGGAGCTGCTGCTGGTCGACTTGGCCGTCTGGAAGATGGCGCCAGAGGCCGAGAGGGCGGCCTGGAGGGCACTCGAGGTGGCTATTCCTGCGGGCGTCGTGGTCGAGGATACCGAGAAGGGGACGCTGCTCAGCTGCAATTGTGCCGGTTGCGTCTGCTGCTGCTGCTGTTGTTGTTGTTGTTGTTGCTGCTGCTGTTGGCCTGCCCCGGCCGCCTGCTGCACCACAATTTGTTGGATGATGTTCTGCTGCTGCTGCTCCCGTTGTTGTTGTTGCTGCTGCTGTTGTTGTTGCTGTTGCTGTTGCTGCTGCTGTGCCTGTGCCTGAGCCTGAACCTGAGCTTGCACTTGAGCCTGTGCCTGCTGCTGGAGCTGCTGCTGAAGCAGTTGGTTGTGGAGCTGCTGCTGCTGCTGTTGGTGGGAGGTGATGAAGGTGTTGGGCGCTACCTGCAGTATTTGCTGAGCCAGGGCCTGTTGCTGCTGGTGTTGCTGCGCCTGAACCTGAGCTTGGGCCTGAGCCTGTGCCACCTGTTGCCGCTGATCCTGCTGCGCTTGGGCCACCGCCTGCTGCTGCTGCTGTTGTTGTTGCTGATGTTGCTGTTGCTGCTGCTGTTGCTGCTGGGCGACTTGTTGCTGCTGCTGCTGTTGCGCTGCTGCCTGCTGCTGGATCTGGATGGCGGCTATCTGCTGTTGGAACATTTGCTGCTGCAGGAACTGCTGCTTCTGCATGAGCTGCAGCTGCTGCTGCTGTTGCTGCTGCTTGTCCACTCCGGCCGCAGTGGCTGCATGCAGGGTCTGGCCATTCTGCAGGGTTATGGGCGTGCCCGTGCTCATCACGACCATCCTACAAAGCAAAAAAAGAGTGAAGGGAATGATATAGAAGCCGTGGACCCAAAGGCTGACTGCCGTCTCTGCCACTCACTTGTTTCCCGCTGTGGTGACCACCTGGTGAAGGTTCGCCTGTTGTTGCTGCTGGTGCTGCTGTTGCTGCTGCTGTACGGCAGCCATGTGCTGGCCCACTGCCTTGCTCTGCACCGCACCAACCGCCACCACCTGACCATTCTCCGTCTTGAGGGCCGGCAATGCCGGACGGACGGGCTGCTGCTTGTTCCGCATCTTGGCCTTCAGCAGGTTCTGGTTCTGCGCCGTCTGCGTGGACACGGAGCTGGCCGGGCGCACCTGCGTCCCATTGTGGGGCATAATCGGTGCGCCAGGACGCTGCAGGGCCGTCAGCTGCTGCTGCTGTTGTTGCAGTTGGGCCGTGGCCACAGCCAGCTGTTGTTGCTGCTGCTGTTGTTGTTGTTGCTGCTGCTGCGCTTGGCTGTTGGCCGCCGCCTGCTGCTGTTGTTGTTGCTGCTGCTGTTGTTGCTTGGAAGCCAGGGCATCCAGCTGGGTGCGAGGCTTGGTAGGTGTCTGGGTTACATTGCACTGGATGATTTCTGTGAAAAGAAGAGGAAGGGAATCGGAATTAGCGCTGGATGGCGGATTGCAGTGGGGGATGTGGAGGCGGATGCCACTTACGGTTCTGCTGCGTCTGGAGGGTCTGCGTGGTGGGCTGCTGCTGGATGAACATGCCCTGAGTGCCGTCCGGCTGGCCCCGCAGGATGATGGAGTTCGAGCCGAAGGGCTGCAGGCCGTTCTGCCAGAACCAGGGACCGAGCTGCATCTGCTGCGCCTGGCCCGCGCCGGCACCTCCCAGCGGATTCAGCAGCTGCCCGCCCACACCCACTCCCACTCCCACGCCGGGCAGTGTCGACTGAGAGACCTGTACGCACTGCTGGGTGGTGGTTTGCTGCTGCTGTTGCTGCTGCGACTGTGCCCCCCCAGCGCCTGCCGACGCAGCCTGCACCGTGTTGGTGGTGGTGGTCACCTTCTGGACCACCTTCTGCGCCTGCATCTTGCCCTGGGCGTCGGCTCCCACACCCACTCCCACTCCTGCCTTGGCCATGGCCACCGCCTGCTGAGCCGTCAGCTGCTGCTGCTGGGCGTTCAGTTGTTGCTGCTGCTGTTGCTGCTGGGCGACCATCGACTGGAGGAGGCTCTGCTGCTGCTGCGGCGAGTGGGAGATGACGTTGACTGGAGAGATGAGCAGCGTCTGCGGTGACTGGCTGGAAGGGATGGCGTAGGTGCCGCCGGCGAAACCGCCCTGCGCCCCGATCATCTGTTTGGCGTTCTGCGTGGTGGTGGTGATCATCTGTGGGCCGTTGCCCTGGAACGGCTTCCCGGCGGTGATCACTTGTATGGGCTGCTGGCCGAGGCCCGCGGAGTGCAGCAGGTTGCCGGATATCATCATGGGTGGGTAGAATAACCCCGTCGAAGGCTGCATCAGCTGCACGGTCCGACCCTGTGACCAGTCGCCGGTCACTCCGCCGGTGGCTGCCGCCAGCTGCATCGGCGACATCGTACTAATGGCCGTCGAGTGCTGTTGCTGCTGCTGTTGCTGTCCCTGCTGGTTCGCCGGACTGGGTGCGCCTCCGCCCTGGGCTCCTCCTCCACCGCCTGCAGAACCGTTTCCCCCGGCTGCATCCGCTGCCGCCGCCGTCAGCTGCTGGAGCTGCATCTGCTGCAACTGGCTCGCCTGGCTGGCGTCCAGCAGACCCGTCGCATGCTTCAGTTCCGTGGTGGTTGTGCCGGCCGTGTGCGTGGGGAACTCCTGCTTCACCTGGATGGCGTACGGGTTGCTCGCGTAGAACTGCTGCAGCTGCTCCGGTGAGATCTGCAGGGGCACCGTCGTGGCGGACGCCACCTGTTGTGCGGGGCTCTGTGACTTCTCCATCGTGTGGCTGTGGCTGCTACTGCTGTTGCTGTTGTGTCGGGCGTGCTGTGGGGTAACACTGGGAGTGCGGGTGCGACGTGTAGTGCGCGGTGTCCCAGCTCCTTCTCCTGCTGCTCCTTCACCGTTTTCGTTTCCGTTGCCCTTTCGCCTTTTTGTGGTTGGGGTTGCCTGCTGCTGGGTCACGTCCAGGGAATCGTCAAAGCTGATGCCCGCCTTCTGGGCAAGTGTCTCCAGGCACTGGAGCGGTCGCTGTGGCTCCTTGGCGATCAGCGACTTCTCGCTGATGTTCGATGTGTCCTTGAGGGGTAGCGTGGTGGCTCCTCCTGTCTGGGGTGACAATGCTGTTTGCGTGTCCGCTCTGTGGAGGGGAAACGAAGGAAAAGCGCACAAAGTTAGTAAACAAAATAAACGAAACACACAGACACAGGCAGACGACAGACAGACACAAACACAGATACACACTTTGAACGGGTACGATGGCGCGGGGCATGCTTCATCTTGGGGTATAATCTCTCTTGTTGCCCCAAAATCTCACACAAAAAAATACAATGTACAATGCAAACAGGTTGGCAGCCCCAGCAGCAGCTGAGGCCGATAAAAAGAGTGAGAGAGAGAGGGAGGGAGAGGGAGAGAGAGCCGTAGAGCAGAGAAGAGCAATGCACGCCAGGCGTCAGTGTGAAAGAGTGAAACGGAATGAAGTCAGCATAAAGTGTGTGAGACAAGGAGAGACTGCAAAATGCATTTCAACGAAAACGAAAACAAAGTCCAAAGCAAACAAGAAAAACAATTGTGAGGCCAACTCAATTTCGGGATCATTCACACACTCACAACAAACACACACGCATATTTAGTACACCGGAAGAGCAAAAGTTTCGTTTGATTAACCCTAGAATGACCATCATTTACTTTGCAATTCGATGCCCGGTTGGTTCTCCATTTCACCCATTTTGACCCACTTAAATGCACTTTACACCCACACACAATGTGCTGTGATCCGATCCCAGTGTGCGGCCAAAAGAGGTCACTAGGCGGCACACACACACACTCACATGGACATGCACATAACACCCCACCCAGGGACCACCTTCTATTTATAGGTAGGAGTCGCCTGCATCTCGCTCCTATGAAAATTGGCAACATGCTGGACTTCTGTGCCAGGCAAATAGCTTAAAAAGGGATCGAGACAGACAGACAGACAGAGAGAGTGAGACAGAGAGCCTGTGTCTAGGAGTGGGAGTAGCAAACAGAAAGAGACAGACAGACAGAGAGTGGGAGAGAGAGAAAGAAAGAGAGCTGGCATTTGCAATTGCAGTCAACATTTCCGGCGGGTAAACCGAGCAAAGGAAATTTAGCAACGCAGCTGCGGCGGCAACCGAATCTACAGCATGACTCGGGGTTTCGGGATTTTGATTGGGATTGAGATTGGATGCAGAGTTTAATTTGGAAATAGAAAATAGGCCAAAATGCTGACAGTTGCTATACCCCCGACCCCAGGAGGGGTTCCGGCTCCAGCTCTAGCTCCCGATCCCAGGTCTGGCATACCATTTGGAGGCAATAAATGCTGATGAGATTTCCCATAACCCATAGATGATTCCTCTCCCACCACTCTACCCCCCCCCTCCCTGACAAGCGCATAAAAAAGCAGAAAATAAGAACCACAAAAAAAATATGGAATAGCATAAGGGTTAGGATTGAGCGTTGAGGATTGCCCTTGGCATTCGGGGTGGGTGGGTGCTTTTGCGTGGCCTGGTAGGGTGGATTCCCTTTTCCAGGGTTGCTGCCGCTGGAGATGGAGTGGAATCGCACACGGAATCATCGTACTCAGGGACCAGACGCTCTGCCAGACACAGCATCTTCAACGGTGGCAGGCTGCATGCGGCATGGGGCAGACGGCAAACTTCCAGCTCAAAGACTGGTTTTTGTCAGTTCCCTGTGTGTGCGTGCTCGTATGTGTGAGCAACCGTTTTTGTATGTGTTCGTGAGTATGTGTGTGTCTGCCACAGCTCTTACAACAATTCAGTTGCAAGAAGAAAAAAAAAGCAGCAGGGGCACTGCCAGTGGCTGGGGCAAAGGGGAATAATAACAATGCGGGGGCAAAATAACAGAAACAGAGCATGCGCCGCAGAGACGACTGCGTCGTCTCGGTATTGCTGCATGCTAAAGTGCTGCCTGCTCCTTCTCAAAGTTTTCCCCCGTTTTTTTTCGAGTGTATTTAATATGCTTGGGGTCCAGTGGCAAGGGGCCAGAGTTGGGGGCACCTGTGCACGCGATCTTACATAAAATTTAACGGCGACAACCCTAGACGCCGCTCAGCATTAATATGATTGTTGTTTTTATTCCTCGGTTACTCTCTCACAATACACTTTCCCGCTGTCTGTATACGTCGGCAGCGACGCGTCGCCTGCACACACATTTGTTTCGCGACACCATGGCTGGCTTTTCATTCGTTTTGTTGCCTTAGCATTCACTTCTTCGGTGCCACACACTAGTTCTGCGTAGCATTATAAACAATTCAAAAAAAAAGTATCTAATATGTACAACAAATGGAACAGAACAGCGTACAGCGTACAGCAACAGCGTATTCGTATTCCCGTGATTGCGCGCGGGGTCGAAGCACAGACCGAATACCGAATACCGAACGCTGCCAAGTGGATTTTAGGACTGTGACGCGCGCAGACGATAGACACACGGTGGCAGCAGCAGCAGAGGCAAAGGCAGCGGCAGCGGCAGCAGCAGCGCTGCGAAACAAAATGAAGTGCGCATGTGTTGATGTTGGTGTGTGTTGTTGAGTGCGGGGCTGTCGGCGCGACGCGGGCAGCAGCTGGGGCATGCGAAAGAAACCAGTTTTCTCCCACACCCATGCAACCCAGCGATAACTTTTCTCTATACTGAAAATCGCGGGTGCGAGTGGAATGGCAGTACAAGCAACGCAATCGAGCACCAAGTGTGACTGCGATGGCCTCTGCTCGCTATCGCTGTCGGGTCTGGTTTGGGGTTGGAAAGAAACAAACGAAACGACGAACGACACCACACAGATACACACTGACGCAGGAAAACGAGGCTACAGCTGGCGTGCATGTGTGTAGTTGTATCTGTGTGCTGTGCGCGCTCTCAACCACCCCGACGAATTCTCATCTTCATCCACAACACAACACCGCCGAGAATCCAGTTTTCTGTGTCTGTACACTCGAATGTCTACCCTGTCGTCTGCCTCCGATTGTTGCTTGTGGCTGGCTTGCCTGCTATACTTCATCTTCTTTTTTCATTTCGCATTTGTCACTCACCACCGCCACCACCATCATCGTGACTGCGGCTCAACGGCCTACCTGGCTTCCCCTGCTCTGCCGCGACCGCTCCGCTGCTACCCATTCCCATTCTCATTCCACACCTTCGGTCGTTCCATTCGGCTTTAGCTTTATTTTATTATTAGCTCTGCTTGTCGATCACAGCCGTTGCGACGGCGGGGCGAGGCGGGGCGAGGGTAGCGTATGCGCAGCAGAGCCCAGAGTGAAATATTTTGTTGCTTGCTCGCTCGGTCGTACAGTGGCGTGCGTTCGATTGTTATTGGATTGCATTTTTTTGTTCTGCTGCAAACGACACACGCTGCAGTTGGCGTCAGCGGGAGCACAGTGGGGCAATTACAAAATAAACCGCTCGAAAAATTCTCGTTATCTATTTGGTATATATATAGTACTAACGTATAAATATAATTATCATAATATATATAATAATCACCCACCATAAATATATTTTTCAACATTATGTCATCCCTTGCCAAATCGTATGCCAGAATCGCAGTATATTAATCTCTTTTACTCCGTGTCAATTGCTCGTGTCCCACTGTGCCTGTCTTTGGCATTCCATTTTTCATTTTGTAACCTCTTTGTGTGCCAAGTGTATATGTATGTGTGCTTGGCTGTGGACTCTTGGCTGTCCCCCCTCCCTCCGCATTGCTCCACAAGCGTTCATCGTTTTCCGTCGATGATTGCCGATGTCGTTGTTTTTGGTTTTGCTTTTGCTTTTGTTGTTGTCGTTCGCTTCGCTGATGTTGATGAGACCGTTGCTTTTTGTTCGATTCTCAGTCGCCGCCATATTATTTTTACGCTTGCTAGGTTCTGCTGCCGCCTCCCCACTCTCCCCCCTCTGCTTATTTTAGCATTAATGCTCTCTCGCTCTCAGCTTTGCCGAGCGACAGTCGTGAGTGTTTGTGTCAGTGTGTGTGGGTTTTTCTTTTTGGGCTCCACTTGAAGTTTTTTTCGCTCGTTTTTTTTTCTTATTAGTTGTGTGTCTTCTTTGCTTCTTCTTCTTTCACCCTGGCGGCACGTTCAACTGTACAAAAAGCAGACCCGACCCGAGCATGCGCTTTACGTCTCTTCTTCTACTCTTTTTTCTTTTCGCTTAAATTAATTGCCACAGACTCGTTGGGGCACAATTGTTGTTGGGTTTTGTTATTTGGGGGGTCGCTGCCGTCGAAGTGTGAGCGAGCGAGCGAACGATTGTGCGCTGCGTCCTACACATGTGTGTGGGCATGGGTATTTTTCTACGGTGTGTGTGTGTGTGTATGTCGGCTCTTTGCATTTCGTAAAATGACAAATGTATAATGAGCGTAAATTGCTTTGCGCGTGCTTTGCTCGCACCTCTGCTTCCATCTCGCTCTCACTCCCTGCCTCACAGCCTCTCTGTCTCTGTCCCACTGTTGATAGTTGAATTAGACACACACACACACACATACTAACGCGTACCTGTCGTGTTCCTACACCATTTTCCAAATGAAGAACGTTGATATTATTGCATCAAAATCATTCAGTCGACGCCTGACAGCGGCGGCGACGCCGACTGAGGCAGAGAATCAGCGGAATAGCATTTGTATGGCTTTGAGGCGTGGCCAGGCACTGACAATGGATCGTTGATCAGATATCACCCCACCCACACCCCCCCCCCCAACTTCAATCTGAATTTCCGCACCATCCAAAACTTTGTTCCATTCCACCCGTAGTTCCCATCTGTAACCACCCCATCGCCCGTATACAGCCCACACCCGGGCCCCTCCCGATTGACCCTTCATTCGCAGTGGTGTAGGCGCACACACAGGAAGTCCTTGCAGCAGTGGATGAAGAAGGCCGGCAATGGGTCAGGGCGACCGCTGTGGCCGCTTCTCTCCGGTGTGTTGTACAATATATTGGTAAAAGTAGTCCCAAAAGGTGAAAAGGGAAAGGTAAAGGTGGACAGCACAGTACACCCTTTTCCATAATCAACTAACAAAGTGTCGACCTTGACTACCGTTGCCTACATAAATTTCGATACTTCTGATTTTTAGGATGAGGATTAAAATTAATCGCTTGTATCACAAATGACAACATTTTCAATATATTACTCCAATTTACCCAAAAATGTACATATGATACAACTCCGAAATTACAGGAGCTAATCCCTACACCCTTCCAAATTAAAAAAAAATCAACCCATCGAAATTGCACGGACTGTACCCAAGCGGAGTGAGACTTGAACTGGAATTTCAAATTGGGAGAAGGGGGAATAGCTAAGAGCCTAGCAAACAAATTAGCTGAAAAAG